GTTTGTATAGCTCATAAAATTTACCAAACTTCCAAAAAAATTTTTAGAGGTAAAAGTGCTTATCTTTTCTGCTTTCCACCTGTATTTCCATCTGTCTTCTCTGTTGTATCTGCCTACTTAAAAAAAACTCTTTTCAAAGGCAAATGGCCTAAGGATTTCTATACAAAGACAGATCCCAATGAAAGGTTACCAAAACTTAATAACAGGTAAAATAAAACCAAGGTTTTATAGGCCTTCTGCCTCTAAAACAGTCAGCTCTCTTTGAGTCATGATTTCTTTCAGATCCTAGCTGGAGACCTGCTCTTCCCATTGGTGTGTGTGTGTGTGTGTGTGTGTGTGTGTGTGTGTTATGCACATGTGCACATGTGTCAAGACAGAGAGGAGGGAGACAACTCTACTGGAAATTCTTCTATTTATAGAGGAAGAAGCATGATCCCATAAATACTGATGCCCAGGAAGTCACCCAAGAGTTCAACTGTGCCTAATATTAGACTGTTGCTAAAAACGTTGGAAAGTGTAGGTGTGAGCAGTTCCAACTAAGCACCACTGTTGATAAAGAGACTGCTGTTGACATAAATAAGTGATATTTGGAGTCCATAAGTGCACAACTGGAAGAAGGGGGAGACAATGCCAGCCATCTCCAGGGACTTAATAGCAAACTCTAATGATTGTTCTCTGTAAACTGAAGGACAGGGATTATCAGGAGTGGATTTACTTGAATGAATTCAAGGAAGTGGGGGTGGGGGGTTGGTCCTGCCAGGGCCAAGCCTTCCCAGGAAGCCAGTGCCAACTCAGCTGTAGGTCAGCCATCACTGGCCTGGGGTTGCCTCGGGCAAGGTGTCATGTAAACATGCTTACCCTGATGAAAACAAAAGTTCCCCATCTGTGGCAAGGACACACCGATTCTGATAATTTTTACAAAAATTAAGGTCCAGCTTGAAAGGGAAGTGCTGAAAATACCAAGGGGCTTGCACTGACCCAAAAGCAGCTTTTATTTGATAAGTTAATTTGACTCAGAATTGAAGCCAAATTCTGACACAATCCAACAAGTTACTCTAAAAACTGGTAGGAAGGTTGAAATGCTAGTAATGCTAATATTAATAGCTAGCAGGTATTGTTCTGTATACTTTATATGAACTTCATAAAAACAACAAATAATTCTGGAGGATGACTAGTATAAGACTAAAAAATCATTCGTTATATATCTGAAAATCAGTCTCCCAACCCTATCCCAGAAGGGACTATATGCATCAAGGAAGTGAAGAAAAAGTATTGATTAGTTCAGGGTTCAGTCCCAAACTCCAAATGAGAATTCAAACCATGGAATCAACTTAAGTGTAGAACTCTTTTCTCCTATCTAAGAACCAGCCTAGAATCACAACTCTCAAAGCTACCCAGAGGTCAGCATCACTTGGGTAGCTTAAGTGATGAATAAGGCTAGGACTGGGCTAAGGTGTAATGAATGGGTTTAAGGTGGGGTGGGGCACCCGTATTTTCTAATGAGCTCCTGAATGTCTTCTTTTCTGTTCCTCCTCCTCTTCTTCTGCCTCCTCCTGGCCTATCCTTTCTGCTTCCCAAAAGTGATGGCTATTTGTTTCTAGAGCAGTATTTTTCAAATAGTTTTGACGAGGCCCCATAGGTTTAAATACATATTTACACAAACACACACACAATAAAACATGCATATATCATGAAATAGTTTAGCTATTCATGATAGGTCTACAGAGCTGTACCTGGGAATCACTGGTCTGAAACCCTGATTGTAAATTAAAGTTTCCCATTTCTGCACAGTCTGAAAACACAGCCCAGAATATACCCTCCGGTGTGGGAGGAAGAGGGCCTAAGGGGCTGAAAGAATGAGAGAGTTTCCTCACAATGCCCAGAGCTGTCACCAGGCCTCTTTGAGTTGCGTTTGCGGCCTCGGGGGGGTGGACTGCATGTAGGAGAAAGAGGATTTTTCAGAGAGCAAGAGATCAAGGGGAAGAGCCACGGGAGGGTCAGGCACCCCATTTGAAACGGGCCCTGGCACAGAGAGGACAGATCACACCTACATGCACTGAGATTGTTTTACCCTCTAAAAGCTCCAGCACCAACACCATGGCCCAAACGGTACCCAGAAATTCACATTAAAAATTTTCCCTGAAAGTGGAAGAAATGTGGGCAAGGGGCTGGGAAGAGTGCAAGCTCCCTCTGCAATGTGGCTGCACTCCAAGAAGGTATTGGGAAATCAATTTAGTTGGATGTGATAATTTACCAAAAAAAACACAAAGAAACAAAAAACCCAAATAGAAAATATACAAAGGCATGTTTCAGAGTAAGAATTAGGCTCTGTTTCATAAAACTGTTCAGTTATTTCATATATATATATACACACAGATTTTATGATATGTGCATATATACATATACATATATAAACATGTATTGTGTGCATGTGTGTATACATATACACACGTATAACACACACACACATACATGTTTTATTATGTGTGTATATAACTATATATTTCTTTCTATGGGGCCTGGTAAAAAATGTTGGAAAAATACTGTTCTAGAGACCAATAGCCATCACTTTTGGAAAGCAGAGCGTAGGCTGGAGGGAACAGGACACAGAGCCATTAAGTTTGGGGGTGCAGATCCAGGAGAACGAGCCCTGGAGCACAGGCTGCTGCCCAAAGAAAGTTCAAGCGACAGATTCAGGAGGAGTCTAGGCAAGCAGGGAGGGAGGTGGGGCATGAGTGGACTGTTGGCCTTAGGGGAGAAGGAAAATGCAAGTGATATGTGTCTCTTTGCCTATTTTCCATGCTTCCTTAGAAAGCCCCAGAAAAGGTCTCTGCTGACACGTAGGCCATGTCTCTGGAAGTCAATACCCATTCTCTAATGTTTTTCTCTGTTCTTGTAAATCAGAAAGCAAGGTGTGGGGCAGCTTTGTATGAAGTTTAAAGCACTCCCAGGAAGCAAGGTCAGGCCTGGAAGGGAGGGCCCAACACTGCATTTTATACTGTCAATCAAAGCCATTTACTCTAATGGTGGTTTGTTAAGCTTGGCAATTACAGTTTTTCATCTTTTCCTATGGAGATGTGAAAGGAATGTTGAGAGGCCATAGGGGAATGAGTCTTCATGTCCAATAAAACTTTTTTAAAGTCATGTTAAAAAACTCACATAACATAAAATATAGCAGCTTAACCATTTTTAAGTGTACAAGTTCAGTGGCGTTAAGTATATTCCCATTGTTGTACAACAGATTTCTAGAACTTTTTCATCTGGTAAAAACGAAAGTCTTACTCATACACAACTCCCCATTAGCACTCCCCCAAAGCCCTGGCAACCAACACTCTACAATACTTCCTGTTTCCAGTAGTTTGACCTTTCTAGATACTTTGTACAAGGGGAATCATATAGTATTTGTCTTTTTGTCATTGGCTTATTTCACTTAACAGAATGTCCTCAAGGTTCATCCATATTGTAGTATGTGACAGGACTTCCTAATTTCTTAAGCCTGATTAATAGTCCATGCCTGATGAAACTTTTGGCAGTGATGGAAGAGTGTTTGTCTATGCTGCCTACCACAGTAGCCACTAGACTCATGTGGCTATGGAGCACTTGAAATGTGGCTAGACAGACTGAGAAATTAAATTTTTAATTTTACTTTTTAAAATTAAAATTAAAATCTAGATTGCCACATGTGCCTAGTGGCAACTATGTTAGACTCAACAAGATTTTTTTCATTTACACAAAATAACTTGGGGATAAGTGACTAATTTTGTGGCCATGACTATGTGATGAATTTTATCTAAATTATTCTGAAATAACCATAAACTTGAGGACAGCTTTTTTTTTTTGCAAATTATATTAACTATAAAGAAGGAAATTTGCTGGATTGGTTCATGATGATTTTTATGCTTAAACACTCCAATTCTATCCTTATATTAATCATTCTAAGGGTCCTTGGTTACCTTAATGGTTTTTTGTGGTTTTTTTGAGATGAAAAAGAAGGCTCAGTGAAATATAAAAGGCTGGATATTAAATACACTTAGTCACATAGTTAAGCAAGTCATGATTTTAAAATAGTGTAACCTATGCTAATGTCTCTCCACTGTGCTGTACACCTGAAACTAACACAAAAAAAGCATTGCAAACATTGTAAATGTTTTGTTAATTATCAGAATTAGGAAGTGCGAGGGAGATGATTGATTCTGGTCATGTTGAACTTGTTTTAAAAATGCATTTATTCTTCCATATTTATTTTAGTTGTAGAACCTGCATGCACTCTTGTAAAAAATTGATGTGAACATTTTAAACAGTATAGATCTTTGACCTCTTTCCATTTTTTCTTCTTTAATCTCTTGCCCCAAAGTAAGAACTCTTATCCATTTAGGGTGTGTTTTTCTATTTCTTTTCTCTGTATTTATTGACAAGTGTTTGCACATATAAGAGTACATTGTGTTAAACTTTTACAAATGAATCTTTTTAAAAAGATTGTAATTGAAAGATTGTAATTTTTGTAATTGAAAAATAAAAATATTTATAAATATTTTAGATTTGTAAACATGTAACAAAGACAAATAGTAATTTTTATGGTTTTCAGAATTATGAATTAAGTTTTGTTGTCTTATTTTGGTTTATCTCTATTTTCTATTTTTATTTTTTACAGTAAATATTTATTACTTTACAATAAACAACAAAATTATTCCTTTGGAAAAAAAAGAAAAAGTACAAATTGACCCAGGGGGAAAAAAAAGTCCATGTTTTGTCAAATTTGATCACCCAGAAGAGAGTGCCTAATCGATTTTTTAGTACGTTTGTAAAGACAGACATGTACTAACTTTTCAACAGGAGTGGCCATCACAGTGTCTCAAACTAGGTACATGAAATGGAAAAGTAATTAAACACTTGGGGCTTGTGATCGGCTCTGTTAGGCACTAACATTGTGGGTGCTTAAAAATTTTAGTTTGAACCACTTGTTTTTGTGCCTGAGCTTTGCATGGTACCCCCCTGTCTAGTCACAGACTGTGAGCCCAGCTGTTTGTGTTCAGCGCAGGAACAGGAGAGGGACCTGCTGAAGATGAGAGTTCAAGTGCTGTGGCTCCTCTTTTCCATCTGGGTCACTGAGGGCAGTGATGGCTTCCTGGGGGTGAGTTGGCTATGTCCTGTTTTTCCCACTTACCACCTCTCCTTTCTCCTCTGGTACTTCTAGAATCCATCACTCTCTAGGCAACTGAAACGACATATGTAATAGACATGGAATCACAAGTTCTGGGTTCTTGTTTCAATGTTAGCAACCTTAGCTGTGTGGCCTTCAAGCTTAGATGACCTAACTGCAAAATAAGGATCTTGGACTAAACCATCTTGGACATCTCTTCTAGTTCAACACATTCAATCCTATAGCATCTCTGATGGAGAACAAGCATAAAGATTGGCATTAGCAATCCTCAGACTGTCTGATCCCTATCTATATGTACTTTCTTGATGCTTTTATCTAAGGTCATGGTTTCAGTGTTCTCTATAGGCTGATGACTCCAAAATTTAGATTTTCATCTCAGACTTCTCCCTTGAACTCCACACTCACACATACACTACCTACTTGGTATTCCAGCTGAGTGCCCAATAGGTGTATCAACTTCATATGTCTCAAATTAAACTCTATTTTTCTTCTCACCAAACCTACTCCTCATTTTCTAACTCAGCAAGTGGTATTGCCATTTCTCCAGCTACTTAGGCACAAGATTTATTTTTATGCTTGATTCTTCTCATAATCCATAGCTAAACCATTGGCTCTTCTTTTATTTGTTTGTTTTGGCTTTATCTTTAAAATGTGTCCAGAGTTAAATGCTTCTCACCATTCCATGGCTACTACTTTGATCCACACTTTCATTATCTTTCACTGATATTATTTCAATAACTCCTGAAATAATGCTGTCATTGCTTCTGTGCTTGTCTATTCCCAATATGGCTACAGGACTGAGCTTTCTAAAAAATAAAATATAGACCTGACTAGTGTGGCTCTGTGGGTAGGGTGTCATCCCACAAACCCAAAGGTCACTGGTTTGATTCCCAGTCATGGCACATGCTGGGTTGTGGGCCGGGTCCCTGGTTGGGGACGTGTGAGAGGCAACAGATCAATATTTCTCTCACACATCGATGTTTCTCTCCTTGTCTTCTTCCCTTCTTTACCACTATCTCTAAAAGTAAATAAATTTTTTAAAAATCTTAAAAAAATAAAGTACAGCACATCTGTCCTGTGTTCAGAGCTCTCCAGTGGTTTACCATCTCACTCACGTGAAAGCTAAGCCCTTGCCATAACCTGTAAAGATCTACACAACCTGCCTCCCCAGAGGTACTCTCTGACCTTACTTCCTGCCTTCTCCCCTCACCCACTCCACTTAGCTACTCTGGCCCCCTCACTCCATCTTCACATGCTGGGCATGTTCTTATTCCAGGGCCTTTGATTGTGCTGTCCCCTTGGCCTAGAAAATTCTTTTCCCAGGGATCCTCACTTGTCTACCTCCTTAAAGTTTGTGCTCAAAACTTGCCTTACTGAGACCTCTTGCCACGGCCCCACTGTCCCTGAGTTGGGCTTTAGATGCATGATTTCAATTTATCTGGGAAACCCAACAGGGCATTACAAAGCCCTGCCATAATTATTCTTTTTTTCTTTTTAACAGAGAAATGATGGCATCAGAACAAGAAGAGGACTCACTGTGAATAAGAAAAAGCATCCAGGTGAGACACTGTTGCCAAGAGAATGGGGTTCAAACCCAGTAGTGCTTCTGACTGTTTGTATGGTCTTTGGTACATTATCCAACACCCCAAATCTGTAAAATGAGAATAACAATAATCCTTACTAGCAAAACATTGTGAGGATTAAACAATCTAATAAAGGCATAGTATCCTCCACCATACCTGTCAAGTAGCTGCTCCTTATTTTTCCTTTCCTGCCTTATCTCGATCCCAGCAATGTAACTAATGGGCACAGCCTTCAGTCTGTGGTCTGGTATTTTATTTATGGGTCTGATGTTTCAGTCACTGAAGGTGTTCTCTCATGGAAACAGTGATGCACACAGATGGTTGTTTACAAGCCTTTCTTTGGTGAATTTGGTAAATAATGATGTGCCGATAGTGCCATAGAACTTAGCCCTGTGCAAGGCTATATAGTTCTTCAGGAAAATGAAACAAAAATTTAATTTGGAATGTCATGAATACATTTTCTCTGATAGTAATAACACAGCTAGTATTTATTGACTTGTTACTATGTACCATGCATCATTTTAAATGCATTTGATGAATTAAATCCTCACACTGTCCCTCCGAGTTAGATACAATGATCATCTATGTTACACATAGTGAAACTGAGGTATAGAGCTAAGGGGTAGGAGGCATGATTCAGACCAGAGGGCAGGGGAAGGTGAAGAGAAGGGTGACGAGGATTTTCTTACCTCTTCTCCCTTCATCTTTGACACCTGAAACTCTACTCTGGATGTGTCCTGAGGAAGTGTGTCAAGTCAGGAGGGTGATGCAGGGGTGGGTCAGAGACTGTGGGAACAGCTGGACTGACAGAAATGAGAGGGTGAACATATGTCAGGTATATGGGGGACAGTCTGCATGTGCTTGTCCTGGACACTCATTTTCAGTCAATGTCTGGATGAGCAGAAGTCAGTGACAAGCAGTGTGGAATCATCCGTGACCTCCAGGCTGAATCTGGTGACTGCCTCGTGGCCCCCTTCTCTGCAGTATTTCCCTCCTCGACTGCGAAGGAGGCTTCTGACTGTCTTCTCTCTTTAGACCCAGTGCAGGAATATGAGCTGCTGCTTCAGGTGGCTTATAGAGACTCCAAGGAGAAAAGAGAGTTGAGGAATTTTTTGAATCTTCTGAATTCTCCATCATTGTGGCTGCATGGGCCAATGAAGATTATCAGAGCAAAGGCAACCACGTGTAAGTCAGCTCTCTGGGGACTGAGAGTGGAAATGGGGAAGGTGGGCATATCAGTTGGCATAGGGTAGGTTATGCTGTCATGTGAAAACAATCGTCTCTGCACCGTCTGTGGCTTACAAGAATAAATGTTTTGTTTCTTCTTTGTGCTACATGTCCATTACAGGTTGCAGAGGGGCTGAGTTTGTGGTGGTCCCTTGGGGACCCAGGCTGATGAATCAGACACTTCTCAGATATGCCCACTTAGAGACAAAGGGGAAAAAGGAGCTCTGGAAGGCTTGACATTGGCAGTTCAATTTTCTAACTCAGGAATGACACACACTAATTCTGGCCACGACTTACTGGTCAGAACTGGTTTCATGGCCCCAGTCAACCTCAGAGGCCAGGTTATGTAGTCCTAGAAGAGAGCACATGATACCTGGCAAACAGCACTAATGACCAGGGAAGTTCAAAGATTTGTTGAAAATGAGGGTTCTCAAAATGTATGGTGCCCAGTCCAGCAGCAACAGCAGCAGCCTCAGGGCTCCATTCTTCCAGCTTTTGATGAGAAGTCCCTGATTCAGAGTCTAAGTCAGAGCCAAGGATCAGAATTCAGCAGTAGTCAATTTATTAACCAGGCCCCATGAAACCAAGCTCTGTTTTTTGTGCAGACTGCAGCAACCAGAACGGGTTCCTACGGTGTGCCTGTGAGGATGGCTATTCCTGGTTTCCTCCTTCCTGCCTCAATCCCCAGAAATGCTACCTTCACATGGCTGGATCACTCCAGAGTTGTGACTGTCACCTCAGTAACCTCACCCAGAGCATCAATTTCTGTGAAAGAACAAGTAAGCACATGAAGATACCAGGAGGGGATCCCTGGGCTGGGGCCTCTTCCAACACAACATGTGACAGGAGGGGGACTCTAGCTCTTTGTGGATGTGTTTCTCTGTCTCCCTGAGCAGAGCTAGTGTTTGCAAGGAGGTTGAAGGGCAGAGATGACATACCCTGCCAGGTTTGGCTGGACACAGTGAGAGCTGCGCTGGTGCTGAAAATTCAGAAATGCAAGTCTGTCTTTGGGCACCACTTCAACCTAGCTCCAGCTCAGCTCTGCATATCTATGCTTCTTTTGAGATTTAATGAGATTCACTGAAATCCCAGGTCAGGAAACTGCTCGAGCAAATACAATTTTTCTTCCTACCTCGTTTCAACTCTTTCATCAATTTTCAGAAAAGAGAAGTGTAGCAGTATAAGAGCAGGGAGGAATGCATAGTGATTATATTGAAGGTAATGCTTTAAATCGCCAACAAATGCATGTACTGAATGCAACGCCAAAACAAAAGTCTGAAGTATAGCCTTGGTAACCAGTGGAAACTGAGGGAGCTCCTGGTGATTTAGGTTTTTGTTCAGTGAATGAGGTGGTGAGCTCAATGACATGGGCTCAGGGCTCGAAAGACTTGAAGAAGTTTTCCAAAAACTAGTCCAGTTATCCTAAAGCTGTGGATTTTGGTAGAGCTGAGCAAAGAGTGAGGGAGGACCAGCAATAGCCCGGTTTTCAAGGGTGCCCCCGGCTCCCCTTCCCAGGACTGCAGCAATTCAGGTGAAGGCAACATGTATTTATAAGCACCATCTTTACAGCCAGAGCTGGGCAAATTCTGGGAGGTCACCATGAACCATTTCTCTTGCTATCGATGAATTAGCAGGCTATGTGGAAAGGCCAGGATGTTAACACAAGAAAGAAGACAATGTAATTTCTTCAGCAGTGTTGATGAAAGCCTACCGTTTGAAAGGTGGTCCATGTCTGGTTCATCTTCTAAAGATACAAAGATGGAGCAGACAGGAATAACAATGATAAGGAGCTTCCCGAAGTAGAGCGGGGACACACATCCCTGAAACATGTTCACAAATAGATGTGTGAGTGCAAGAAGCTGTAAGGCAGCTATGGATAAAGTATTGCAGGAATTTAAAGGAGGGAGAGACTCTTTGTATCTGGAGTCAGCGAAGGCTTTGGAAAGGAGGCTTTCACTAGGCCCTGAATGAAGGATAGAGAAGATATGTCCACACGGAGATGGGAAATGATCTGCCCCAGGGCAGAAAAGCACCAGTGATAGGTAAGCAAGGGGTATGTTGGAATTAGCAAGTAGTGATTTTTTTGTTTGTTTTTAAAAATTTTTAATAGGGCGATGTTTAAGCTCTGTGAATAGATGGGGATATATTGCAGTGTGAAGACCGCCTTTTAAAGTCACATGTGAGTGGTCACACGTTTTCTACTGACAAGGTTGTCTGGGTTACCAGCACTTTCCCATAATGTTCCAAACCACAGTTGGAAATTCTTGTTGCGAGCTTCCGGTGTTGCTTTAGGTGAACATTCGTTATGAAAACAAATTGAAAGACTGATGTTGAATAGATGGGTTCCAAGTTGTACTTCTGCAATTTTATGCTATAATAAAATCAAATGAGTAATTTTTATATCTATATATTTTTTATTTCCCATAGAAGTTTGGGGCACTTTCAAAATTAATGCAAGATTTACAAAAGACCTTTTGAATTCGTCTTCTGCTGTATACTCCAAATATACCACTGGAATTGAAGTTCAAGTAAGCACCTTCTACTTATGGCATAAAAAATTGTTGGCTGAACATAAGTTCAGATGTTTTCAATTCAACATGTTTATTTAATACGTATTCTCCATTATTCCTTTTCACTGGGCTATTACATAGTAGCTAATCACTCTGCCCTCAACTGATGCACTTTGAATGAACATTTTCTCTCTGAGAGAGTTTAGCAGTTGAATCCTGTTCACTTCTTTTGTGTTCAGTTTTGTTCATTTACTTGAGTAATATTGAGCCAAGGCTTCTTGATTACTTTCTGTTTTTATATTTGTCAAAAGAAATTTTTCATGATCTAAGCTCGAGTGTCAGCATCTGGAATTGGTTCTGTAAAGAAACCTCTCTCATTAGAGGCTGCAGAGAATTCCTGGGCAAAGTCCTGGGCTTCATCGTGAAGTCACATAAAACTCGACCAGAGCACCTCAGCCTGGGACAGTGGTTCAGGTGCGGGTCTCGCTGAAGACGTGCACAGAGACTTGGCAGATAGATTCCATTTAAGCATCAATAAAAAGGCTCATTTGTGGGGAGGATAAAATAAATTTTGGGTGAATTTATTATTTTATCTGGCACTCAATTCATCTTTGAGTCTAAGCAGTTGATTTTTCAATTTTTATCAGCAACCTCAAAAATAAATTATGTATGTGTGTACATTCTTAATTGTCATTTTATAATGTGTAACTACCTCCCGCTGTATCTTTTTTTCCTTTGCTCAGTGCTTCTGTTGGTTTATTTATTGCCTGCATCCATGTTTTGCTCAAATGTTTTTCTTGTGTGGGGACAAAGATCAACATACTGCCCCCCTTTTTTTTTGTAAGCTTAAAGAAACATACAAAAGAATTCAAGGCTTTGAGTCGGCTCGTGTCATTCAGTTTCGGTAAGTAACACAATGCCCAAATCAAGGGCACTCAGGTTTGTGCACCAGCCCCACAGATTGCCTCGTGCTGTCGCCAGGTGCCTCTGACGGAAAGTAGGTCAGACGTGGTCTTTGTAGTGGGATTCTTACCAAAACTGGACAAAAGCCTGTCATGCTTTAAAAGGTGTGAAAAGGAAACCATATATTCTCATGTAAATGAGTTTAGAAACTTAACATATTAAATGGCATTCTCAAAGCTCTGGATCAGAGAATAGAATAGAAAATCCCCAGTAGTGGGGCGGAACTTGGAAGGAAGCAGGGGACTCTGGGGTGCTGGAAGGAGTGAGGGGTGGGGGTGACGGTGGCAGAGGGATGGACTTTCTCCTTCCATGACCACAGTGGGCATGCTGTGTAATTGGGAGCCAGAGGGAGGCTTTGGATCAAATAGTGTAGCTTTGTGTAGATATCATGTATATGCCATAGTCCAAGACCCCACAGTCATTGTCTACAGCAAATAAAGAGATATTTAGTAAATCATCCTTTTGTTTATACTTTAATTCCAAAGTTACTTGGTTAGTTAACCATGTGTGTATTGATTACCAACTATTTATAGTCTGCTTGAAAGAGGAAGTGACTTAGAAGTCAGAGGACTTGACTTCTTATATGATTTTTTTCACAGTTAACTCTAACAACTACAGGAAATTTTCAACATCATTTGCTATAAATACGTTGTCCTAGATATTATCCTTTAGTTATTCATGACCTTATAATGTCTTTATAATCAAGGCCCATATGTATAATTTTCTTTAAATCCAATGCTAGGAAAAACACAACTTATTTTCTTAAATTGAGTCTATATAATTAATCATTTTCCTGTTAGACTTTACTGTCATTGAACTCATGGACAAAATTAAAACTCAATCACAATAATTTCTATATTCCATATTCATATTTCTTCTTTTTTGTGGTCCTGGTTTTCCATTTATACTTATAACATATATTCCATAATATATATCTTATAAGCTGTCTCCAATAATTTTTAGTGAAAATCACTGTTAACATAAGCATTAAATCTATAAAATACAACTATGTAGGGTTTTCAATTTACTATATGATTTAATTTCTCACTGTCTCAACTTATTTATCTGTCAAACAGGACTGTTAATACTTGTGGAACCTGATTTAACCTCATTAAATCAAATGAAATAAGTAAGCAGGAAAATACTAGCTCAGATGATTAGAGCATTGTTCCGATACACCAAGCCTGTGGGTTTGATTCCTGGTCAGGGCACATACAAGAAACAACCAATAAATGTGTAAATATGTGGAACAACAAATCAGTGTTTCTCTCTCTCTCTTTCTCCCTCCCTCTGTCTAAAATCAATAAAAAAAATTTTTTTAAAACAAAGAATATAATAACAGGGCTATATCAATGCAAAGATATTATGATTATCACTACATAAAAATGTATTTGGATTTATTTATACATCATGAGTGGTAATTCAATGTAGTGATTAAGAATTTGAGCTTTGGGGTGTCAGACATTCTAATCCATCAATTAATAATGAATAATTAATAATTACCTGACTCAACTTCTCTTTGGGACTCAGCTCCCTTATCTACAAAGTGGGGATAATACAGTGTTTATCTCATGAAGTTACTGCAGAATTAACTTACTTAATATACGTAATCTCACTCGCTTTCATGACTTCAAACACCACCTGTAAGCTGATGGTTTCTAATGTATTACTCAAGCTTGGCCTCTCTCCTAAACTTCTGACCCAAATATCCAACAGCTTATTATGGTCTCCACTTGATGCACCAGTAGGCATGTCAAACATAACATGTCAAAAATGGGAGTCCTCCAGCTGGTCTCCTCGTAACCTTAAACCTACTTCTCCCACCTCAGTTACAGTGTTGCCATTTTCCCAGTTGCACAGATCCAAAGCTTGGAGTCATCCTGAAACTTTTTTATTGAGGTATAATTTACATCCAGTGATGTGTTCTGACCTTAAATATACAGATTAGTAAACTCTCATGAATGCTTGTAGAAGCTACCTCCTATCCACACAAAACTTTTCCATCCCCCCTAAAGTTCCCTTGTGCCTCCTTCTAGCTAATCTCCATGCCCACCTCTACCCCTACCAGAAATTACCACTGATCTTATTTTAGCCAACATGAGCTAATTTTGCCTGGTCTGCAATTGCATATAAATGGAGTCACGCAGTGCATAGTATTTGTGCATCTGGCTTCTTTCATTCAGCATATTGTCTTTGAGATTCACCCTTGTTTTTCTGAGTGTCAGCCCTTCCTTCCTTTCATTGCCCAGTAACGCCCCCTTTATGAAGTACTACAACGGGTCCATTCCCTGCAGTCATCCTTGACTAGTGTCTTTCTTCCCTACCTGAAATCTACTCCATTAGCAGTTCCTATGGCTCAGTCTTCAAGCACAACAGGAATCTGGCCACTTCTCCCACACACACTGCTACCCAACTAGTTCTCACCATCACTTCCTCTCCCCTACCTAGTCTTTCTGCTTCCCTTCTTGCCTCCCTTTAGTTTATTTTCTACACATCAGACACAGTAATGATCTTAAATGACAAGTCTGATTGTTTCACTGACTTTTAATAAAGAATAAAACATTTTAATAAAAAATAACATTCAAACTCTAGGGCCCTCTGTGATCCAGTTTCTGGCAACCCCTCTAACATGATCTCCTACCCATCACTCTCTTGCTCACTGAATAGTTATGTCTGTCTTTCTTTGTTTTGTCTTCTGACTTAAATTGATATATTCAATGAGTAACTTATTTTCACCTGGGGTTCTTAAAATCCACATTGAAACCTTTAGGCATTGAGAAGCAATCCCAATTCTTCACTTGACATCTAGTCTTTAAATCTGTCAAGCTCATAGATCTCATAGATATTTTCCTGCCTCAGGCCCATGCATGTGTTGGTGTGTTGCCCCAATGGTCTTTGCACCACTGGCCTTTTCTTCTCATTATTCAGGCCTCAGCTGCAAAGACCCTCTGCACAGAGAAGCCTTTCCTGACCAGTCTTATTTAAAGAGGGCCTCACATCTACATGCTAGTCTTATCATTGTACCTGTCTCTCATAACACTTAATAAACACAATGTATATATTATATATTGTATAAATACTTATACACAGTGGTTACTAGTTTCTTATTTGCTTTGCCTTCTCCAGCAGAATGTAAACTGCATGAAAGCAGAGACCAAATATGTTTGATATATGTTTATGGACTGAATGCCATGCACACACCAAGTAGACTTTGACTGACTGACTGAATGAATCTCACTTTCCTTTCCACGTAATCATTACAGAGATGGAAGCATCATTGTTGGGTATGAAGTTGTTGGCTCCAGCAGCACGTCCGAGCTGCTGTCAGCCATTGAGCAGGTGGCTGAGAAGGCTGAGGAAGGCCTTCAGAAGCTGTTTCCACTAGAAGATGACTCTTTCAGAGTATTCGGAGAAGGTAACCCTAAATTCCCACCCTCTGTTTAGCTTAAGGGAGTCCTTTAATTGGTAGCTCATTCACATCTTTAGGAAGTAGATTGGAGAGGTTTCTGATACAGAGTTATTTTAAGACTGACTTTCAGTAAAAATGGGCCACTGTTTACCATGAAACTCAATTTCAGCTGATTAATTCAGACCCTTGCTAATCAGTGATCTGATCTCTACTATAAATGTTGTGGAAGATTGATTTCACTGCTGGCTATGATGGAAATGACTCAGCAATAGTTTACTGGTACACATGTTGAAATATCTCTGGGGCTGGCAATATTCCCGAGTAATAGTCCAGAAACCAAGGAAAGAATGCATATATCCACATCTTTAACACTCACACAGACACACAAACACACAGAGACACAAACATACACACGCTGCTTCATTTCTTCAGGTATCTTTTTTCTCTTTTGCTTCTTTACATTCAGTCTTAAACCTGTCTTATCAAAATTTGTGCCCCTTTCAACAGCACGTATTAAACAAGTATTTACTAAGTGTTTAAAGTGTCTAGGCACTTAGGACACAGCAATAGGGTAAACACATGAAAAACACACAGCTCTTGTGGATCTTCCATTCAAGGTCCCCTCCCAGTCCCGATCACGGGAAGACTATATTATTAAGGGTCAGCTGCAAGAGTAACTAGTGTTTTGTGGAAGCTCTTAAAGGGGTACAATGTAGGACATGTTACCCCCAAATGGGAACTGTCCGTCTTTTAACCATATTGTCACTGCTTTGTTCCATAGTGTTTGGAAGACTTTTTGGTTTTCTAGCACTCCCTTAAAGAGCAAAAACATTTGCTGGGAGGGGTCACATCTGTCTTATTTTCACTGACTATTAGCACATATTAGTTGATAGCCCACTAAAAGTAGGATTACTGGCACAGATCAGACACCTGGAGGGAAAGGGCCAGCCTCACGGAGAGTAGGGCATGAGGAGGGAGAAGAGGATGCTGATAGGGATGAAGCTGGGCATCAAAGTTAAGCTTTTCCTACTCTTGAATTTTTCTGGGAATTGTATCTGGAAATATGATTTCTAAAGCATAGCTTTATGATTTATAGAGAGTGCCAGGATATTCACAGACATTTCCCCTCTCTGCTTCATTCTTTTCCAGTTCAGTGTAACAGCATTGTTTTTGGATTTGGGTTTAAGAATGATGAATATACTCTTCCCTGTAGCAGCGGCTATACTGGGAACATCACAGCCAAGTGCCAGCCTTCTGGGTGGCAGGTCATTAGGGAGACCTGTGTGCTCGCTCAGCTGGAAGAACTGAAGAAGGTAAAGCATTTCCACCTTGCAGACTTGCCCTGGTTTTGAGTATTAGAGTGGGTACCTCCCACTGAGCATGGCTAGGTGGAGGATAAAATACATCAGTTTGTCTCATTTATAAATACACAGAATGCAAGGGAGACTTCAGACCCTTGTAAACTCAAGAAGTGTGAGCATGAGTGACAGAGTTGAAGTGGCAGCTGAGAAGCTCAGATACTGTCAGACTTGATGGTTTTGGCAGGGAGAGGTTCTGCATTTGAGTGAATCAATGCTGAAGAAGTCTATAATAGAAGGTAGAAGTCCAGAAAGCCTGAGAATCAAAGACCCACGTGAAGATGTGAGTCAAAAGTTGTAGACTTAGTCCAAGTGAGAATGTACACATATCAGAAACCAGGGCAGGTGCTGGGGTCAGCCAAAGGTGAGCTGCATAGAATGATACAACTGCAGTGGATCTTAAGGGTAATCTGTTTTATCAAACTCTTTTTACAGATTAGGAGACGAAGGACTAAGTGGCTAACAGTTGGTCCCTCTGATAGTCATTTGATTTCCAGTCCAGTGCTGTGACCTTCACACGATGTTCTCTTTGGAAGGTTCAAGTACTTGAGGCAGATAGATAGGAGCATATGGTGAGGAATTAGAACCCAAGTCATAGAAAAAACTAGTTCACAGCACTGTTCTGCAAATAGAGCTTCCTGTCAGGCAGAACTTCTGTCTCAGCCAGAGGCTCTGCTATTGCCGTACAGAACCTCACAATGGTATTCATTAAAGGACTGTGGAATGTTCACTTCTCCCTCTTTGGAACTCAGTTTTCTCACCTGTAAACTGGGCAGGGAGATTGGACCAGATGTCTTCTATGGTCCATCCTTGCTCTTGCCTTCTCTGCCTCAGTTATGCATGTGGACCGTGTCTATTGAGGGCGTGAGGGTGAGGGCAGGCAGATCCCAGGTGCCCTGGGCAAAGAACAGCACTGTCAGCCAAGAAGAGCAAAAAGGAAACCATATAGGATCTGGGTTTCTTGATTCACTTGTTTTGACTGAAAAGGAATTTCAATTTTTGACAGCCTTCCAAGCTCTCCCAGAGTGGAGAGAGCAGATGGGAGCTTTAAGGAAGAAGTAAAATTCCAAACCCAGTGACAAAGTAGAGTCAAATCTCCATGTATGTCCCTCTATCTTCCCATCCTACAAGGATTTCTCAGCATAGTAGTGTGAATATGACAGGATTTAGTGCCACTTCCTAGCTGGGTACTGTTTGGAAAGTCACCGAATCTCTCTGAACACCGGTCTCCATATAATTAGGACAATAACTTATATGAAAATGCCTTTAAATAAATCTTGTCAAGTTTCCAGTTCCTTAATGGCACCTCCCTCAAAGGGTGGTGTAAGGATTAAATCAAAGAATCCCTGGTAAAACATGTAGTGCAGAGAGTACCAGCTCTGAAACACAGAAGCACTAGGTAACAGCCATTGTTATTAACATTATACAGTATTCCACATTGTAATGCACTATACAAATAAATGTTAGTGATGTGGTCAAGCAATCTGACTTAAATCTGATGGACCACAAGCATATGTATTTTTTTTAGAACTGAACCATCTTTTTCTTAGAACTTCAGTGCAATTGCACACAATGCCACTGAGGCAGCAATGTCATCCATGGTGAGAAATCTCTCAGTCATCGTTCAGCAAAACCCATCAACCACAGCTGGGAATCTGGATTCAGTGGTGTCGATTCTGGGCAATGTCTCCTCTCTGTCACTGGCAAGCCACTTCAGGGTGTCCAATTCGACAATGGAGGTATGGTCTGCCTATGCTTGAAGGGCCCACTTTATTTACTACTTTATTTATTACTGCTACCATTTAATATTTTGTTTTAATTATTTAATTACAATTGACATTCAATATTATATTAGTTTCAGGTGTACAGCATAGTGGTTAGACATTTATGTAACTTACAGAGTGATTTCCCTGATAAGTCTAGTACCCATCTGACACTGTATCATAATGTTGTTATAATAATATTATTAACTATATTCCCTATGCTGTACTTTATGTACCTGTGACTATCTATTTTGTAACTGCCAATTTCTACTTCTTAATCCCTTCACCTTTTTTATTTAGTCCCACAAATCCCTCCCACCTGGCAACCCTGAGTTTGTTCTCTATACCTATCAGTTTGTTTCTGTTTTATTTGTGAATTTATTTTGTTTTTTAAATTCCACTAATAAGTGAAATCATATGGTATTTTTCTTTCTCTGTCTAACTTATTTCACTTAGCATAGTACCTTCTAAGTCCATCCATATTGTTGCAAATGGTAATATTTCATTCTTTTTTATGGTCAAGTAACATTCCATTTTATATGTGTGCCATGTTTCTTTATCCAACAGTCTCTTCATGGACACTGAGGCTGCTTCCATAGCTTGACTATTGTGAATATGCCACAGTGAACATAGGGATGCATACGTCTTTTGAATTAGTGTTTTGCCTTTCTTCAGACATATACTCAGAAGAGGGATTGCTGGGTCATATGATAGTTCTAGTATTAATTTTTGAGGAACTTTCATACTGCTTTCCACAGTGGCTGCACCCATCTGTAGTCCCATCAACAGTGCATGAGGTTTTTGAAGGGCCCACTTTAATGCTCTACCTCATGGGAGGAATGACAAAAGCCTGAGTTGGGGGAAACTTTCAAAAAAGACTGAAGGGCCATGCAACAGTCCTTGTGTGATTTTTTTTATTGCATCCTCCACATGTATGAGGAACTCATGAGATCTGTTCTGTAAGTTCAAAATAATAGGAGCATCCTCTAGGCAGGCTGGCTGGGCAGCACCTGGCTTAGAGAAAGGGATGAGGCTCTGCACCCGATGATGCTGTGTGACACAGGTGCCAGCTCTTTGATATCTGTTTGCTGTCTGCAGTTGTTCTGTCCATGGCCACAAACTCTGACTTTAGTCATATATATTTTAAGGCTTCATCTGTTTTGACTGGGAAATTTATCCTTTGGTTTGAATCTTTTAAAATTAACTTAAAATTATAGAAATAAGAATTGATCACTAAAAGAGATGCAAATAAGCAAATAGAAAAAATCTATAATCTGGTCACTCTAGAATAGACACTGCCTACATTTTAGGTATTCCAACAGTGCCTAGAAAACTGGCAAGTGACATGCAGCAGGTGCTCAATAAGCATTTATTAAGTAAGTGTCCTCTGAAACATTTTGGATGTATGCATTTCATATTAAAGTATGTAATATTTTTCCCTGACCATTGTGGCTCAGTTGATTGGGTGTTGTCCCACAAAATGAAAGGTTGCACATTCGGTCTCCAGTCAGGGCATATGCTTAGGCTGTGGGTTCAATCCCTGGTTGGGTTACACATATGAGGTAACAGATTGATGTTTCTCTGTCACATTAATGTCTTTTTCCTCTCTTTCTCCCTCCCATCCCCTTTCTAAAAAGTATGTAATATTTTGCCAAATTGAATTATATAATATCAGACATGACATTAAATATGATCAGTTAAGCTCCCTGAATCAAATAAAAGATGCTCAGATTATTTTTAAGAGTTTAACCATGTGTCATTTGCAAGAGACCAAGTATAACAAAATGACATAAAAAGGCTAAAAATTAATTAAAGAGCAAAATAGAGCAGGCAGACACAAACAAAAAGAAAGCAGAGCTTCCTGAAGGCAGTTGAAGAAATGAACTATGGGATTCTGGGCCAGAAGCCGCAGAGGGCTCAGTTAGGGTAATGCAGGGCCAGAGTGACAGACATTTGCAGCCGAATGCCTGAAAACCAGGCTCTTAAGAAGGGCAGAGGATCATGAGGGACAAAGGGATCCTTTTCAAGCACTGGTTTGGAAAAGGAATCTCTCAAACTAAGACTGATTCTTAAAACTGACAACAATTCCATACTTCCTTGTTGCTTGCCTCCATTTTTTAAAGGTTTTTACTTATATTCTCTCCTCTATTAAACAAAAATAATAAATACACATGAATTAAAACTTGAAAGTCCATGACATGACTTTAGAACTCCTGATGTTAGCAAAACAAGCCTAACGTGGGAAAACTGTAAGCAGCAATGTGGCCCTGTGAGCTGAGGAGTACTGCAGCCGTGTTCACCACCTCAGGAAGTGCACACTTCTGCAGCCCAATTGTGGGATTCTTTCTCATCCATGCTCACACCCCAGTGTGCACACCAACGCCCTGGGGTGCTCACCTGGGAACTTACATGATCCTGTTGACCCAAGTTTCTTAACCCAAAGCTTTCACTGTACAGAGCCACTGAGCTGAATTTCACTGATGAGTTTTAACGTGATCCTCAACTGAGCTGGTTCTCAAGGCAATTTTTCTGTACTTAGTACTAATGACTACTCACTGTTAGTCTTCTTACCCATTTACTCAAAATACAAACTGACTCTCATCTTTGCATTTCAGGATGTCATCAGCATAGCTGACCACATCCTTAATTCAACAGCAGTCACCAACTGGACAGTTTTACTGCAGGAAGAAAAGCACGTCAGCTCACGGTTACTAGAGACATTGGAAAACATCAGCGTTCTGGTGCCTCCAACAGCTCTGCCTCTGAATTTTTCTCGAGAATTCATTAACTGGAAAGGGATTCCAGTGTCTGCAAGTCAACATAAGACAGGTTACAGCTATCAGACTGACATGTTCCCCACAAATACTTCCATTCCCATCAGAGGCCGAGTGTTAATTGGGTCAGACCAATTCCAGGGGTCCCTTCCAGAAACTATTATCAGCATGGCCTCACTGACCCTGGGGAACATTCTACCCATTACCAAAATTGGAAATGTCCAGGTCAATGGGCCCGTGATCTCCATGGTTATCCAAAACTATTCCCTAAATGAAGTTTTCCTGAGTTTTTCTAAGATAGAGTCAAACCTGAGCCAGCCTCATTGTGTGTTTTGGGATTTCAGTCATTTGCAGTGGAACGATGCAGGCTGCCACCTCGTGAATGAAACTCTAGATACAGTGATGTGCCGGTGTACTCACCTGACCTCGTTCTCCATGCTGATGTCACCTTTTGTCCCCCCTGCCATCATCCCGGTTGTGAAATGGATCACCTTTTTGGGGCTGGGCATCTCCATTGGAAGCCTCATCTTATGCCTGATCATCGAGGCTCTGTTTTGGAAGGAGGTCAAGAAAAACCAAACCTCACACACACGTCATATTTGCATGGTGAACATAGACCTGTGCCTCCTGATTGCTGATGTTTGGTTTATTGTTGCTACCACTGTGGACACCACAGTAAACCCTTCTGGATTCTGCATAGCTGCAGTGTTCTTGACATACTTCTTCTACCTCTCCCTGTTCTTTTGGATGCTCCTGCTCGGCATCCTGCTGGCTTATCGGATCATCCTCGTGTTCCATCACATGGCCATGCCTTTGATGATGGCTGTCGGGTTCTGCCTGGGCTATGGGTGTCCTCTTATTATATCTGTCATCACCATTGTGGTCACGCAACCTAGCAATGGCTACAAAAAGAAAGGCACGTGTTGGCTCAACTGGTCTGATGGGAGCAAGCCCCTCTTACCACTTGCTGTTCCTGCACTGACTATCGTGGCTGTGAATTTGGTTGTGGTGCTCTTAGTTCTCACAAAGCTCTGCAGGCCTGCTGTCGGAGAGAGACTGAGTCAGGACCACAAGGCCACTGTTGTCCGCATGGGGAAGAGCCTCCTCATTCTGACCCCTCTGCTGGGGCTCACCTGGGGCTTTGGCATAGGAATAATGGTGGACAGCCAGAGTCTGGCATGGCATGTTATTTTTGCATTGCTCAATGCATTCCAGGTGAGGACAATAAGAATAACCTGTTATCATACCACCAGGTAACTGGAATAATGATAGGGAACTGAGGTTGGTAGGACAACTCTAGAGGCTATCTTATTTCCCTGCCTCCAGTGGGACTGTAACCAAAACTGCCTGGCAACAGGGAATGGAAAAAACAAAAACAACAGATGCATTTTTCCGACAGTTATTGTCATACTGAAGGAGAATATTAGCCTTTTTCAGTAATCCATTCTAGGGGTTTAAATCTGCTAGACTTCACATAGCTAACGTTCATCTCTCTTGCTGCTGATTCAGTCCTTCTTCTCTAGTGCAGATGCATGTAAAAGTGCACAGGGAAAGGGAAATAAATCAAGAGGACTTGTTGACTCTGAGTGGTGCAAAGGTAGTCCCCAGAGTGCAATGGAGCAGAAGCTGGTAGGCTGCAGCCAGCGCTGCTTTTGTAAATAAAGTTTTATTGGAGCAGATCCATCCCCATTTCTTCACGTATGATCTGTAGCTGCCTTTCTTACACTAGCAGAGTGGAGCAGTTGCAACAGAGACTGTGTGACCTTTAAAACCTAAATATTTACTACCTGGCTCTTTACAGAAAAGTATGCCAACCCCTGGTGCAAAGAATGGTTTTATGTGCCACAGTCAGAGAGGGTTTGGAGAGTAGGTAGACAAAGTAGTCTAGGATTTGCTTAATCTGGAAGAGAGCCATCAATCCTGGTTCAGTGATAGTTTGCTGGGTCACCTCTGCACAATGACTCAGGGGACTGACTGGTAATTAAACCTTTGAGCTCAGGACTTAAATAGGCCTGGGCTCAAATATGTCGCATTATCAACTGTGTGATCTTTAACAAATTACTTATTCTTTCATATGTTAGACAGGGATAATGCTATTACTTGTATCAGAGTAAATATAAGGATTAAATAAGATACTTTAGCATTTCCCGCAGTGCCCGACACATAGTAAATGTTCAGTAGTTGTCTCCTAAAGTACCAGGTTCTTCACCCACATCAGCGTACCAGGGAATGTTCACATGGTGACACAGATGGCGACTTTGGACAGCACCCACCTAATGGGGACAGGTTTGGGGAGCTTCTGTTGAGGGCAAGCCCATGCTGATACACTGTCTGAACAGGCACAAACTGAGGGTGCTTGGCCTGGGAGGGGGATTTCCAGGTCCAAGAAAGCCCCTGCCAAGGGTTCCCCAAGGGCTGGAAAGGGTGCCTCTGCCATCAGAGATGCTTAGCAGATGTTTATTTAATGCCTATCCTAAAGAAAGTCTAAGATATAGAAGTGAATGGAATTTATTTGTTTTGGGTTTAGAATGACACAAAGGGGAAAATGAAGTTTTGTGTGCCTTTAAAACTTTATTCACTTGACAAGTTATTTATACATTCAATGAAAAAAATTTTGAGTACTTTGTGTAATGCCAGGCATTGTAGAGGTCACACGGTATAATTGCCTTCAAGGAACCCACAGTCCAGCAGGGGGTCGACAAGAAAACAACTCCAATGTTGGGTGATAGAACAGAATACTGTTACATATACAAGCTTTCTTTTCCAGAAAAGATAAAACATGTGATTTATTCCTTTCTAAGGGTTTTTTCATCTTATGTTTTGGAATGCTCTTGGATAGTAAGGTATGTGATTCATTTCTCTCTTTATCCCCTAACCCAGGCATCTAACCCTTCCCGTTCAGTTCTGAGGCCCTTTTTCATATAGAAGTGGCTAGATTATGAGTGCATTTGTAATAAAGTTCTTTAATTTTATAAAAGGCAGCCTCAGTCAGGAAACAAAGGAACTAAACATTACTGCTGGTAATAAGCTATGCAGAACAAGTCACAACCTATAATGTGACTTTATAGAAAGAAAATGGAAAGTGTTTTTACTTTTAATTTTTCTATATTATATTATGGTTTGGCAATAATTAAAGAGCAAAAGTACTTTCCCATAGGGGTGAATTGCTTTTTTTTTCCTTTAACTTATCCATTTACTTAGGATATACTGAAAGATATATCTACTTCTACAGTTCTACAGTTTTATATAGTAAATAGCTTCTACAGTTATATTCCTAAAAGGGACAAACAGTGTGAGTAAAAGATAATAGAACAAATTTAAATAAAACTCATTTTATTATTTTTCCCCCATCATTGAGCAATTCTGTTGAGAGAGGTAAATTCTTTTTAAAAAATAAGAATGTAAGAATATTTTATAATTAGCACAATTGTTGCACATGCACAAAACCCCTGATTACAAAGAAGCAATTTGCTGTTCTTCATTGGCCTAAATAATTCTCTCATTTGTACAAATCACATGGTTAGGAAACTCTTCACTTCAAAGATCAACTTCAATTTGGCACTTATTGCCAATTACTAATGTCTACAATCTGAATTATTATGGCTTTTGGTACTGCTGTTTTTCATTTAATTCTAAATTTGTTTATACATAAAAAAAGAAATAAAGGAAACAAAAGACAAAATCCTTTCATCAGATACCCATACTCACAGTCTATTAACTTCCAGGAAACACTACTGTTAAGTAATAGTTTCAGTCTGCAGTTTTTCTCTGGATTTGCCTATGAATGATTGAATGTGTGTATCTCAGTATTTCTTTGTTGCTTTTACAGTTGCGACATCTGCTTTCCAACAAGTTGTCTCCTTTAAGCTATTTGAAGCAGCCATTGAAGGTAATTGTCTTGCACTGCCATGCATCCAATGCACAGAGTTCCAGTTTCCCATTTTTATCCACAAAAAGACCACTTTTTTTCTAACCCCCTTGGGTTTCTGTCACCATTCTATTCTGGTTATCTGTCATGGTGCCCAGCACATGGTCAATACTCAGTAAAGAGTTGAGTGTGTAAGGGAGGGAATGGATGAGAAGGCATGGAAAGCTTCAAGGACACTCAGCATCCAAGTCTGTGGGTGCTTTGTGAGCAAATACCCTTGAACATTATCATTTGCTTTAGTCTGACTTGTCGCCCAAACGCTAGAGTTGGTAAGGTCCCTTTCTCTGCCTGACTTTTTGGCTCTCCTATAGACTATTTTTCCTTCTTCAGAAAACTTCTAATATATCAAACACAGTCTCTGAATTTTCTCTTGTAAGCTGGTATAACTGACTTTGTCCCATGCAGTTTCAGCTTTTAAGTCTACAAGCTGTCATTTGTATGGAAACAAAGGAATCCTGTTTCATTCTTCTCTACAAAAGTGCAATTCATATAAGAAGAATATAGTTAGAAGTGAAAGTACTTGCATTCATAGTTTATATTTTTGATGTTAATTTAGACTTTCCTCTTTCAGCAAATCAATGAGGGAATTTTAGAAAGATTTCTAAAGTAAAGATTTTTGTTGGATAAAAGTCTACTAACTTAAGTACATGAAAACCTACATGGATGTTTAGGAATTTTTGCAGTGGACAATATAACCTTTTGAAATAAAAAAAACAGTGAGAAAATTAACCTCTGATATTAAAATTTTTTCTTGAGTGTGCATTTCATGCAGTGAGACAGAGAACACTGCTCTAACTTAGGGATCAGTAGCCCATGAGCCAGCAGATCTGCCCTGTATTTCTTTTTTTCTCTATTATTATTATTATTAAGTTAAAATTATTTGGTTAGTAACATTATATAGGTTTCAAGTGTACAATTCTATAATACATCATCTGTGTATTGCATTATGTGCTCACTCCCCAAAGGGGCTCAATATATGGTGATGGAGGGAGACTAGACTCTGGTGGTGTGCCTAGAGTCCTGACTCAGGAACCATCCGGCAGCGTGATCTTAGGAAAGTCAGTTCCTTTTGGTTTCAATGTTGTCGACTGTTTAAATGAAGTGTTGGACTAGTTACTCAAAGCAGAAGTTCTAACGCTCTGTAATTTTGAGTTTCTGTCTTGAACTAAAATCCCTTGAACCAGAAAATGTGAAACTAATGAATAGTTAGTTCATTACTCTTAAGAAAAGGAGAGAGCAGCAGCATATGCGACTTCATTAAAGGAAAACCTCACTGAGTAAAGTGAGACAGGACGCTCTTCACCCCACAAAGCAGGGTGTCAGAATTTTTCTTATTTGAAAACCAAAGAGAGAAAAACACCCAAAAGTACACAAAACCAAAATCAAAGAAGCACAATGATGTCTTTTCTCTTTGTTTCTAATGCAGTGTTGACACTTTTCAAGAAGGCCCCGGTGGTCAGTGAGGGGTCTTCATCTTCTGGATGTGTCCCCTGTCCCCAACTGTGTTTTAAACCACATGATAAAAATGGATTTTTGTTTGGTGGTTAGGTGGCTCTTTTGCTTTAAAACAAAAGTAAATTTGGCAGAAGAAAAGATGAGCACTTATAATTTCCTGAGGGAGTCAGAATGAACAAAAAGGAACCCAGAGTATGATGGTTGAGGAATGACAAGAAGAAGTCGGAGCGCTAACCCCAGGCATGAATGCTCCTGTCAAGATTCTCTGTTGTGAGAGAAAAGAGAGCAAGGGTGAGGACCAGATGCAGACACAGGACCAGGAGTGACAGGGTAGAGCTGAGTTGCAGAGTGTGAGCAAGTGCATATGCTGGGAGAGAGGAACCAGCAAAGAGAAAGTCTAAAAACAAATGAGGGAGGGAGGATAACTGATGGTAGAGGGTTCCTGGGAAGTCAGGTTGAATGGCTGGACTGCAGGTGCAGAAATCCACCTCTTCCCTGGACACAGGAAGTTTCAGGCTGGTGCAGACAGAGCAACATGTGCACTGGGGACATGATGTGGGACAATTCGTGCCTGGATACTTTTTTTTTTAAGTAGGAGACAAGGCCATTCATTGAGCAATGGGCAAAGGGGTGGTGAAGCAGAGATCTTGAGAACAGCAGTGAACATCTGGATAGCTGGCTGAAGGGAATGAAAGCAGAAACCAATGCTGTTCTCTGCAAATATCAGCCCTCAAACCACCATAACTTTGTGGGGACCCACGACGAGGTTTCTTTCAAAATACTCTCCCTACTGAGGGGTCAGGGCCTCTTCTTGGTCTTCCTTTGTCTCTAGCCACACTCTCTATAATTCTGAACCAAGAGGCAGACCAGTGAGCCCTATAGACTCCTCCTCTATAATGAAGGGTTTATTTATTCTTATTTCCAATGACTCATGTCCTGCTTTCAAGCAATAGCTTAAATGCATGTAAATGTAGATGTATAAGAGTCTGCTTTTCCCAGACCATGTTGAGTCCTTGAGTGTGTTGCAATCTAAGACTCTTCTTTCCAAATCGGGCAAGATGCAGTTTAAATGGCAATGATCATGACTTTAGAATTGTTCTTTAGGGTTTTAGTAGTACATGTTTATGAACTCTGAATTCTAGAAAATCAATTCTTTGCTTTGGAACTTTTTCAGACATTTCTCATTCCTAGCTCTTTGATAATATTTTTTTCAGAGCTTGATGTAGGGTAGCTGCCTTTATATTTCAGTGAAAATCAGGGGGCTATCACTAGGCCATCTACTGAATATAATAAAAACTTATTTTTCCTATCTTGATTTAGCTTCCTCACAACAGGAACTGTAGCAAGAAACAAAGCTTATTCCTTTCAATATTTGTGGTGTCTCAAATAGTGTCTGGCACAAAACATCATTCAGTATGAGATGCCAAATTAAATAATAAATTAATTATCAAGTGAGAAAAGGACAGAATACATATACCTTAACACTTTTACCTTTCCCAAGTAAGTACATGCTGTTTATTTTACATATTGTATTTCATTTTGATAACTTAGTTTTCAAAATTTTAAATTCTGTTTTACCTCTGCACCAATGACAAAAGAATTATTCATAAAGAGATTTGAGTACTAAGAGGAGGCAGAATAAAGCAAAGCTTTACTGGAGAACACTTTTACTAGAAATATTGTTTTTGCATCATAGGTTCTTCAAGTGATAAATGTGTGAACCAAGAAATGTAATCACAGGCATGAAAAAGGGAAAATATCTTCTTTACAACTGTTTTTTTAGTTTGTTGTTAGAAGTTGAAGAATATAAACAAGATTCACTTAGAAATAAGTTCTTAGACTTTTTTAATTGATTAAAACAGAAGGAAAAATAGGAAAGTGAGTACTCCAATTTCTTGAAAGGAGAACAGCACACTATGTAGATAGAATAAAGGATTGTTGATGACATCAAGAAGTCAGGAAATGTGCACCATCACCAAAAGGATATTATTAATGTCCAATGACTTGCTTTTCTTTTGTGCAGAGAAACTCACCAGAATTATCTGCTATACCCAAGTCTTTCAACCCATTGGGACGCAAAGGTGAGTCACAATAAACCAAAGGATATAAAAGGTAGGAGGAGAGACTATAAATACATCATATAAGGAAAACTCAATGACAACTTTTTAAAAATTCATGTGATAAGTGTGAGAGTATCAGCCAGCTGTGAGTCTGGAGTTCATCTGAATGGTGCTCAAGGATAACACAATAATGTTGGACTTGGTACTCCTGGAGATCAGTGAGTATCACTTTTAGTTTGATCACAAATTACTAGCATTTTCTCAATTAGACAGTATATAAATCTGCCACATTGATCATTGAGGCCATGGGATGAAGGAGTGTGGTTAGACTAACATCACTGTGTCCTTACTAGAGAGTCATTCCTTTTGTGCTGCTGCTGAGCAGTGGGTATGCGCCAGGAGCTTGTGCTCTACTGTTGAGTGTATCCTTCCCGCTAAGTGTTCCTTGAAAAAAGGAGCCACCATCTGCTCTGGGGGGAAGAGCACTGTCCCCTCTGCCTATGACACACTTTGTTCTTATGCTCATATATTGGCCGTTACTGATGTCAATGATATTCAACTACCAGAAACTGATATGTAAACATTGTAAATAGTTGCTGTATTCCTGGAGCAGGAGGGTACATGCAGCATGGAGGCTGAGGAAGAGATATTTCATTACAAGTGAAGTTGAAGTCACTTAAGAGTTCCATTTCATGTTAAATCACACTAATACATTATTAAAGTAGGGAATCAAGCAACTCATTTTTGATTCCGATAAAAATTATTTGAATTCCAGATGAAGCTCAAGTGTCTGAACTTCAAGTGAAGTATCACTTTTTTCCAAGTGAACTTGGAAAAAACATTTCCTCCCCAAATGTTTAATGTGCTCATCTACAAGCCTTGAGTCCTGTTATCATGGCCACCAACCAGCCAGAGTGCTTTCATAAACCTCTTTACCTTTTTGGATGCTGCTCATCATCAGTAAAATGAAAAAAAGAAAAGACTAAGAGATTACTGAGGTTCCTTTCAGCAATAACATTCTGAGATCTCAAACCTACTTTATGTCATTTCCCAGCAATATCTGAAAAATATTGTGCTTCTCTTCTCAAGTGAGAGTCGTCTGACAAATGCAAGTTTCTGTGACATTAATGAAATGCTGTTCCTGTTGACTAGCTACATTCTAGATCTTTCCCTACTGTTTTCCTAAAAATGTCCAGAACTGTATGGATTGCATATGCTTTTCAATTTTGTCTCATGTTTGATTCCAACATAGTAGACAGAATTCTAATCTTCTTTTTCCTCTCTTAGGCACTTATGCATTTTCTCATACTGGAGAGTCCTCAAATGACATCAGGCTAACTCAGTTTTTATCAACTGAATAAGCCACAAAATCAAGAAAAAAATTTTCTGGAGCAAGTTGACATTTACAGCTAAATGTCAGTGAAGAAATTAGCTCAATATTAGATGGAATTTTATGATTTAAAAGTTGGGAATAAAAGAAAGAATTTTCAGTGGACTCATCTCTGCCCTCTTTATCTTCAGTTAAATGGAGAGATAGATTTTCATGTGGTTTGATTCAAAAGAATTGCTACATAAATTTAGAAGAGTAGGTTTCATCGGAAATTACGTCAGTTGTACCAGCCTCTCACTGCTGCAAACTATGGTCTCCTTTTTCATACAACAGCATTATTCATATGGCATTTGCAATAATCTGAATCAGAGTAAGAAAACTGCATGAAATTGCCTTAGAAAAATTGAGGGACCATGTTCACTTTCTTATCAAAAAGTCATTGGTATAAATTTTCTAAGAAAAAGTTATTTCCCTCCCCAATTTTCCAGTTGGACCTTATACTTATTTTTGCTTTTTGTTTAATTACTTAACTTTGAAAGTTAATCAGAAATAAAGTGAAAACTTCCATTTCATATCTAATGCAGTATTTTTGAGTTTATAAGGCAGTGTCGTCTGGTCCCCAATCCAGTGAAGTGAGAGTGCCAGCCCTAGAGCAGAGGGGAGGAAGTGGAGACCTGGAGAGCTGGAGGGATTTGCCAAGCAGTGTAAAGGCAATAACAGGTTACTGGGGACTTTTAGGACTTTTGGTTCCTAGTCCATTTCTACTGCCCCATAATTGCCTTGAAAATTAGCTGAAATCTTAAGAAAGCTTTATGAGGTTACACATGACATTCATTACTCCCAGAATTCTGTGTGTATGTGGCAAAGTGAGGGAGAGTTTGGTTGTCAGCCTCCAGGGTGGTGCCCTAAAATATCCTAGATTTCTTTCATAATACATTGGAGGTACTCTCTGAGAGTTATTTACATGCATAGTCAATGCCACTTTCTGGTGAGATACAGAACAGCAGGAGAGGAGACACTGTGTGAAGTGGCATTTTACTTCCATCCCTTTTGGTTCACCTTATTGTCAGCCCTGACTACAGTGCAAGGAGCAGACAAAGCCTTTGATTCCTCTTTGTTTTCAGAGTATCCTAGAGATTTGCACTGGTAGTTTTTAAGGCAAGAATTGATTTCTCTCACCAATAATTGTGATAATGATGATGGTGATGATGGTGGTGGTGGTGTCATGGTGATGATGATAATGTAAGAAGTCAAAGAAGAATAAACATTTATAATGCTCACTATGTGCCAGGGACCACACACTCACACACACACACACACACACACACACACGTATATATAATATATATGATGTATATATCATATATATTGTATTCTTTAAAAAAACTTTAAATTGACTTTAGAGAGAGGAAAGGAAAAAGAAACATTAATTTGTGGTTCCACTAATTTATACATTCATTGGTTGACTCTTGTATGTACTTTGAATGTGGATTGAACCTGCAACCTTGGCATATCAGGATGATTCTCCAACCAACTGAGTTACCTAGCCAGGGCTAGCATATGTGAACTGATTTAATCTTCACAATAAGTTTATGTGGTGAGGGATATTATTTTACAGCTGCAAAAACTAAGCACAGAGAGCTTACATAATGTGAAGAAGGCAAGATAAAGGGAAGTGGCTGTGCTGGGATAATAGTTATGGATGTGAAATTACAACAAGAAGAGGGTAATATAAGTCATGCTAGAAGGAAGTAGCATTATTTATTTAATTGTAATTAGGATCCTAGACTCTCTGGTCTGTAAGGGATCTCAGGCATCACCTAATCACTCTTTTTACATGAAGTCCTGATGTCCTAAATCTCACTAGCCTGTGAAATCCTGTGCACCATTAAAGACTATCTATAGTAGTGTATTGGTCCAATCACCTTGGACTTCCATAACAGAATACCACAGACTGTGCAGTTTAAACAGAACTTTATCTTATCACAGTTCTGGAGGTTAGAAGTCCAAGATCAAGGTGCTGTTAGGGTAGTTTTCTGTGAGATAGCTCATCCAGTCTCAGGTGTCCTAACATGGCCTCTTCTCTGTTCACATTCAAATAGAGCTTTCTGGTGTCCCTTCCTCTTCTTATAAGGAGAACAATTCTATAAGATGAGGGCCTCAGCCTTATGACCTCTTTTAACCTTAATTACCTCCGTAATGCACTATCTTTAAATATAGTTACATTGGAAGTTAGGGCTTCAACATATCAGTTTTGCAGGGACAAGATTCAGTTCATAACAAGTAGCTAGAATGCATGCTTGCCTGTTTAATTGAAATTATGGTCTTTAAACATGTCCTCCCAGTTGTTTATTGAGGTTTCTAAGGGAATGGTGAAGGACAACCTCACAGGGACAGTGACTACAGTTTTCCAGGACTACTGCATATGGTCACTCAGGCTGTGCATTCAAGAGGGTGCCATTCTTATACTCTGCACAATAAGGGATGCTACCTAAAGTAGTCCAGGCCATAACCTGCACCATCATTTGTGGCAGCCCTGACTGGGCCCATTCACCCTGGTCTCCCACTCTTGTTCTGGCTCTCACACATCCACAGTTGCTGTTTATAGGCTGACCTTGGGGAATTTTCACTCCCATGCCTACCTATCATGGAAAGGCCAATGCTCATGCCAAGAATACTGATCCCAGATGTTTCAAAAGCTCCCAGTTCTCATGGCATCAGAGTGGTTCTGAGTAGTTTCCTTTCAGTCTCTTCATCAGGAGATGATGAAGAGCCCACAGTCAACAGTCAGGCTAGAGAAGTCACATGTGAGTGCCAGCTGTTAGTAAGAGTAAGCCCATGGAGGTTGGACAGTCCCTGCCCCACATACTTTCTCCCTTCTCCTACTGACAAGAAAGAAGAGATATAGATGCCTTTTCATGATGCCCAAACAGGAGGAAGCGGGCAGGGCATCCACATGCCCTGATTTGTGCCAACGATTTGCTAATCAGCCCACACTCTCTGTCACAGAACATCCTACCTCAGGGCAGTGTACCTGGATTCAATTCCATGAAAACATTGAACATTAGCAGATGTGTTTAAGTAGGACATAAAACATGTTTCTGAATGGGCTATTACAGAAACTTAAGAGTATCTGATAACCTCCTGACATGAACAGCTTTCATAAAGTGCAAATAAAGAGAGCAAGGGAACTTCTAGTTAATGGTGGTGGATTGAATAAGTGTGCAAACAGCAAATTAAAATGTAAGGTTCCATGAGGCACCAAGAAGCAGCACACCTGAAGTGCCAAAGTAAAGTGTTCAAAGTAATTAAATAGGGACCAGTGGGTTCCACACTACACAAAGATGTATAAGTCAAAATAGAATTTTATGAGAAGAATTTCCTTGTAGAAAGCTTATTTGTGAGTCTCCTCATTCCATCTACCCCAAAGGTGAGATAAGGAGGGATGCTTGTCTTCTGGCCTCAAACCTAGTAGGAGAAGATATCTTAGCTTTCTGTGGGACCACAACAGTTAGGGTACACGGCTGACTGGGGTCTGATTATTGCCTGGAATGGTGGCCACAGATCTACAGGTGGACCCCTGAATGGGCTCTGTGCTGAGACCTGCCTACATGCTTAGAGTTTGTCAGAGCAAACATGTGTGTGTGTTTCCCATTTACCATGGTTAAACAAGCAAGAGAGAGAGAAACAATACATGGCTGTTTTGGGTACTGTCTAATAAGGCCATCCAAAGTAATGAAAATATCTTATCAGCAAGAAGCTATAAGTAAATGAGATTAGGGGATAAGGAAGGAGTCACAAGTGACCACCTGGAATACAGATGAATTTACAATGGTTAAAGGAATTACAGGTGAGAGAGGTCAGGGATACAGGAATTTCCAAAGAGTTCTTGAATGAACCCTCCCTTGTTATCCAGTTATTATCCAGAGATCCCCCAACTCCATATGAAGGTGATTACATTTCATAAGATATACCTCCTTTCCCTGGATTTGCGGGTAGGGAGGTCAAAACCTCAGTTCCCAAGGTGGGATGGAAGGAGAGGGAAAAGCTAAGCAAAAATGTCCACCAGCAAGTGAAGGCCTGATATTGTGAGCAGCCAACCTACAACAGGACTTGGGTGGGGGAGAAGAGAAATTTAATGTCAAATTATTTATAGTTTTCACATTTACATGAGATTAGACATCCTAATTATCAAACCGAGAACATGTTAGTATTTAAAGTGACCAAAATACTGCTGTAGCACATTTGTCTCATAGCTAGAACAGATCTGACTAAATTGAATAAATTTTATAAGAATGATGACAGACAAGAAAAACATGTGTTTGATCACATACAACATGCTATGTTTTCTAACTCACTGATTACACAGATATTCACCTCAGATTCCTACGAAAGTGTTAATGAAAAACAAGAAAGTAGAAAAGAAAGACATTTAGTAGTTTCTATTGTGTATTAGAAAAATTGCTGTAAACTTAGTTGCTTAAAACAACACACATTTATTATTTTATGGTTTCCATGGATCAGAAATCCAGACACAGCTAATTGAGTCCTTTGCTCAGGATCTCACAAGACTGTAATCAATGTGCTGTTCAGGCAGCATTTTCTTCTGGAAGCTCAACTGGGGAAGAATCGAATTCCAGCTCATTCAGGTTGTTGGCAGAACTCATTTCCTTGCAGTAGTGGGAATGAAAAACTTGGATTTTTGCTAACTATTGGTTAGAGATTACCCTGAGACCCTCAAAGCCACCTACACTTCCCTGTCACATGGGATTCTTCAATACAACTATTTATGCCATTAAGCCTGAAAGAAAAATCTCTTACTACAGGCTGCTTTTAGGGGAGTCTTGTGTAACATAAGGTGATCAAGGAGTAATACCCTGTAACTTTTGTCATCTTCTACTGTTAGAAGTAAGTCACAGGTCCTGGCCACAGTCAAGGGAATGATAGATGAAAATAGACCCTCAGTTATGATCTGAATATTTGTGTTCTCCCAAACTGATATGCTAGAATCTTGACCCCCAAGGTCAGAGTAGTAGAAGGTGAGGTCTTTGGCAAGTACTCAGGTCATGAGGGTGAAGCCCTCATGAATGGGATTGATTCTCTTATAAAAGAGATCCTGCAGAGGTCCCTAGCCCCTTCTGACATGTGAGGACACAGCAAGAGGGTGGCAGTTTGTTTTTCTGAAGAGGAACCTCACCATGCTGACATCATGGTCTTGAACTTGCAGCCTCCAGAATTGTGAGAAATGAATATTTGTTGTTTATAAGGCACCCAGTCCAAGGTGTTTTTTTTTATAACAGTCTAAACAAACTAAGACAACATCGTTGTAAAATTTCAGGGCATGGCATAAGAAAAGAAAACCCAAAAATTATCAGAAAGACAAAATAGGTTTTACATAAAGAGTCAAAATCAGAATATTATTGGAACTTTTCACAGTAACCGTGTAAACTAGATAACAATGGGGAATGCCTTCAAAATATTGCAAAGAAATGGTTGCCACCTAGAAACAATTAAGTGTGAAGAAGAATCAATATATTTTCAAACAAAAATTCTTGATAAGTTTTCTTCCAATGAGTTCTTTCCCAAAAGATCTTGGGAAATAGACTGCACCAAATGTGGCAATAACCCAGAAAGAGGAAGGCTTGGGTCCCCAAAACAAAAGACATAATAGCAGAGAGAGCTGGGGGAACCTACGGGAGGGAGTAAAATGAGTTGCTATCCACGCAACAGCTATGGGGACGGTCCAGACTGGACCTGCAGGGGAGATTGCTCTAGAAGACGAAAAAGATAGGGTACTTAATGAATGTATTTGAGTGTTATTTAAAGACCTTTACATACCTGGGGTGGGTTGGAGAGAAATTTTTTATAAGAACACAGAAATCCAAGAAAATAAAAAAAAGTGTTAGATTAACAGAAACAAAATGTGCAGAAAAGGAAAAGCAATGAAACATCCTACCTTGCTCAGCTCTGAATGGAGTATACAGTGTACCAATAATGTAAAATGATTTTGATATAACCAAATGATATATTGGGAAAGTGGAGAATAGGAAGTATATTTTAGGGGATGGCAAAGGAGATCTAAATCTTCATTCTTTGTTTTTGGAAATCAATAAAACTGAGAAGCCAAGAATTAACATTACAATCATATTGTTTAGCAATACAGAAATAAATATCAAAAGAATAAACTAAATCAGTTAAAAGATATCATCTCTGAGAAGAAGGGAATTATAGAATTATTTGACTCTAGAAACCGTATTCATGCAACTGGTTAAGTAAACGTACTATAACGTAATATATACTAAACGTACTAAATGTAAATATAAGTAAACATGTGTGTCTGTGGGTGCGTGTGTGTGCTCATGTAGGTATAAATTGGAGAGAGCATGGGATATCCTAAAGTTGGAAGTCCCCTCGATTCATTTGCTTGCACTCGGAAGCTACAATGCTCTCTGAGCTTCTGTGGCCTCAGGTAGCTGCTTCAGGTCTTTGCCATACCCCCAAGTGCTCCAATTTGAGATGTCAGGTAAGCCACTGGGTACACTAATCTACTGGACAAGGGAAGATCTGGGCTAGAGATACACTCTTAGGGTCACCATTATTCTAACAATAGACTATGACAAAAGTTGTGGGATATTGCTCCCCTGGTTACCTTATACAAGACTGTCTTCAAAGCAGGCTGGAGCAAGCGACTCCTCTTGCAGGTGTAATGTCTTAAGTGGCCATGTCAGAGAATCCCATGCAGCAGGGAAGCCTAGGTGGTCTTGTGGGTCTCAGGTAGACTCTAACCAATAGTCAGCAAAAATCCAAGGTTCTCAATCCCACCACCATTCCAAAAAAAAAAAAAAAAAAAAGAAAAGAAATGAGTTCTGCCAATATCCTGAATGGATTCTTCCCCAGTTGAGCTTCTAGATGGAAAAGGTGGTGCTTAAAGCCACGGGACTAGATTTCATGTAGCGAATACAGGGAGAGAAGGGGCTCCAAGCACTGAGCCAGGGCTCCCCATCATCATGAGGTAGGGAGAGGAGGAGGGTCCAGTAAAGGAGAATGAGAAGGAGCAGCCCATGAAGCAGGTCGGAAACCAGGAGAACATGCTGTCCTAGATGCTCAGAAGAGTGTTTTAAGAAGGATTTCAGGATAGAACCTCAGTTAAAAACTGCTGAGAGTCAGGAAATATTAGGTACCTGACCTGCCCATCTCAATTTGAAATGTGAAGATCTTTGACATAGGTGTAATAGGAACTCAGAGTAAGAAATCTCACTGTTGCAATGTTTCACAATAGAATGGAATCTCGTTTGGACTTTTGCCTGGCCTTATATCAAATAAGCTCTTCTGGAGCTATTCTAGAGAGATTAATTTCAAGTTTTTCTCATGTTTCCAAAACAAATAAAGGGGCTGAGGCATAATTATTCGGTAGCACCTAGAATGTTTTTCATACTGACACAGATTTCCATAACAACCCCAAATCTATTTCCTTTTGAATGATTCTTAAATGGAAAGACATTTACCTTTTGTTAAGAAGGCAGCAGGCTGTGCTGTACTTCCCTTTATCAAACTTCAGGGGGCGGCCTCTGACCAAGAAATAAGTCCCCAACAAATTGCTGCCAGCTGAAACACACCTGAGACTCACTAGGGAATTTGATGGTTTGAAACACATTTTAATCCAACTGCTCTAATTAGGAACAATTTACAGTGTTCCTGCTGTGTTTTGTGTGGTAAAAAAGATTAGGGAGTTAAGAACATAATAGCTCTGTTTCAGAACAGCAGATAAGACCTCTGTCTGTTTCCTTGTTTATGCCCAGGGTGCAGGTGAGCAGGGAAGGCTGTTTCTAAGCAAAGCAGGAATTAGCTATGGTTAGTATAGAATTCTCACCTGCCAGAAAACCAGTTAATCCAACTATGTGGTGCAAAACAGATTGGGAGCATTCTGGGATTTTTTTTTTTTTTTAGATTCATCTCTTCCTTTGGGAGGAAATAATTTGGCAAATTTTATAGTTTCGTCAGACATGAGCCACACTTCAATGGCTGAGTTACCCAAAGTCTTTAGAGATCCTGTTTCGTACTCAAGGTCTTAGGAATGGAGAGAACAGTGTGAAAAACATAAACCTATGACTGCATGTAGAGCAGAGATTTAGTGGCTCCTGAAAGGTGGTCAGGAAGGATCAGGGCTGCTTGCAGTTTGTTCCTTGGCCCCCATCATATGATGACTCCCATCGTTCGCTGATTACCACAAATTTTCCCAGCACTGGTCTGCATTTCAGCTGGTTTAATCCTAACCCCTGTGCCTCAATGGCCTCCTATGGCACTAATGTGGAGGGTTCTCTCCAGAATGGAGGAGTCCTTGGGCGGCCCGGCCTCTGTCCTGCCTCAGTCATTTCTCTGCTTCTCAGTTTCCCATCAGTAAAACCACAGACCTGCATTCATTAGATAAACTCAGAGATCTCTTCCAGACCTGACTTTCTCCGATTCTGTGTCTCCTCATAGGTAACACCCTTGGAGAAGAGAAATTTATCACCAAAGAGTACCAGCCCAAGTAGATTTGGCAAGACCTTATCTCACTGGGTAGGAATCATAGATAAAGCATTGCCAACAGCTACATTGATGCCAGCCAGATGGGAGGCAACACCCCTTTGGAATTCTGACCTGATGCTTGAAACCAGAGCCAAGGAGCACCCTAGTGTGATGTGTTGCCAAGGGACATATTGCTTTTGTGGATAAAGTTTCCTGATTCTTAGATCTTAGCCATGCCACCCAAGAGGGCATGGGCAAGGCAGCTGGGAATTCCATGACAACATGAGCCGGGCACTGCCAAGGACAATGCTTTGTGGCATGCAATCTTCTCCTGGCACTGGTGATAGTGAGATTTTGTATTTCTGAAGTTGGCTGGGCAAGGAATTCAGCCCCACCTGTCCTCTATTTCTCCTGATTGAGGAAAATATTAAACAGCTCCTTTCCCCATCAATTTAAAAAGAAATTAAAAGGTTGCATTCATGGAATCACTCCCAGAATTTATGTTGATGATTATGTAATCCATTCTGTACCACATGAAGTGCTCATGCCCTGCTTTCTCTTAGAGTAAGGCAAACATTCTCCAAGTGTATCCCCCACCCCCAACCAGCAGCATCAACCTGACATGGAACTTGTTAGAAATGCCAATTCTAGGGCCCCACTTCAGACCTCCTAAATCAGAAACGCAGGACTGAGTGAGACCCAGGGATTCATTTTAACAAGCACTCCAGGTGACTCTGATGCAGTGATTTTCAATCAGTGTGTTGCTAGAATATGTTTATGTATTTATATTGATCTGAGAGAGAGAGACTGAGAGACTGAGAGAGACTGGCTGAGTGATTGATTTGTTATTTCACTTATTTATGCATTCATTGGTTGATTCTTATATGTGCCCTGACCAGGGATTGAACCTGAAACTTTGGCATACCAGGATGATGCTCTAACCAACTGAACTTCCCAGCCAGGAAGAATTTTTAAAACATGCAGTACCTGGCTATTTAGTCAGGGGCACTGACCTCTTTTCCCTTAGATTGTCAAATAAAAAATGACAACAGCCAATACAACAATAGCCATCCAATGTGAATGAATCAAAATTGTATATATACATATATATTTTCCTAAGATCAGCAAAAAATTGGGTTATGTGTGCCATGAGATGAAAATGGTTGAACATTGCTGCTCTAATGCATGCTCACATTTGGGAAACCACTGACGTAGAGAACTCAGAGAGGGGCCTTTTCAGATTGAGGGCGGGCCATTAGCTCACAGGCTCTGGGGCCTGCCCTTCTGTGGGAGGGTAAAGAGGGCTGGGAGTGAGGACTTTTTTTAGTTTTGTTTTCTATTGTCAACACTTCTGTAAGCCTCAGGAACCAAGAAAGTCTATGTGGAGGTTCAAAGTGTTCAGAGAAGTGTTCAAAGCTGGGTGAGTATTCCGGATAGTACAACTGCTAAGAAAACGGGTTTGGGGCCTGGCTCCAACACTTGCTAAATGTGTTCAGTTGGCTGCATTACCAAACCTTAGTCACTTCATCTGTCAGCAAAGGTAAGAACTGCTTACAAAGTCCTTGTTGGGAGAACATGAGAGAAGTCCGAATATTCTTAGCATACTGCCTGGTAAGCGTCCAACAAATGGTGGCCAATAACAATATTCACAATGTTAGTAATGAGGTGTGAATTCTATAGGACATTTTTACTGTTTCAAAGCAGTGAGCTTAGTGGAAAGATACAACCTTCAGGGGCCACAGACACGAGTTCAAATCTCAGTTCTGCTACTGACCACCTCAGATGGGCTATCTTTTCCCCTCCATTTGTAAAATGGGAATGATGACAATCATTTCACAGGCTCGTTGGGAGGCTTAAATGGAGAAGTCAGTAAAGCAGCTTGTTTAGTGCCTGAATTTTATAGGTGTTTGAAGTTTCTTCTTTTCTCCTCCTCTTTTTCAGTGAGTAAATACACCCACATTATCAAGAGTATGAAGGTCCATGTGTCAGGGGGTTAATGAAGCAAAATATATTGGGACATTTTATCCAGGTGGCTCTGAAGGGGAAAGGAACCCCTAAGTATATTTCTTTTCTTTTTTGTTCACTATCCTATAGAAAAGTTTAAGGACACTTGACAAGTAGAAAGAAAAATAACGCAGGCAAAAGAAGTTTTTAAAAGGAAGAATATTGATCAGTGACAAACCAAAAGAAATGTCTAATGACTTTTTCCTTTTTAATATAAAACAGACTTTAAAGTATATCAAAAAGCATTGCTATAACTTCTACCGAGACATTTTCAACTGTAGAGCACTCTCTGGTGCGTAAGTTCTGATACCTTTCTGGCTTCTCTCCTCCTCTGCCTTTTGTTTTTTACTTTAAGGAAGACCAGCGCCCTGCCTGAGAGGTCTTTTTCCGGCCGGTCTTCCTCTCCCCTGGCCCCGCACCAGTGTGTTTACATTCCTTATCCTGGCCCTGCAGCTGCTGGGAGGGTTGTGGAGCTCTGTAACATACATTTGATTGAGTGTTTAAATGAGACAGAGTTTACATTCCGAGTAGAAGCACAAGAGGTATAGGAGGTGTGACTATGAGGTATTGAGACTGACTCTTTGTTTCTCAAGAAGGAATTTTAAGTTTTATTTATTTATTCACTTAAGGAAGTTTAGTAGAGTGGCCGGAAGTATAGACTCTGGACCCCACACTTGCATGGCAGCCCTTACACTTTGTCTAACTCCTCTGGCTAGTGGTTGAGTTCCTCCAACGCTTCGATTTCCTCAACGGTGAAATTGAGGCTGGTGGTTTTTGCCCACGGGGTTGTTGTGAAAATTAAATGAAATACTGCATGGAGCAAAATTCCTAGAACATAGTATGTGCTCAGTATATCTTAGCTATTGTTATTTTTCACTTTTATAAATATAAACATAAATATAAAAGTACATAAGATAGAAAATAAAAATTCCCTATTTGTTATACTTGTGCTTCCTCAGTTTCCCTCTCCCAATAAATAATCTTCATTAAACATTTAAAATAGAGCTTTCAACACTTTATCCTTCCACATAAATGGGACCCACTTTACACATGTATGTACTCTCCCTTGTAAACCTGTATTTCATGTTCATTTCAAAAATTTACAAAAGAAATTTGGAAATTTTTTCTGAGATTCAACCAGGTATGAAATACAGAGGAACTCAAAACTTGAGTGCATTATACCTAATTTTCAAAATAAAAACTGCCTTGTTCTGCAGACCTGCTTCTATACACAAACACACAAGTGGGTCTGGATGAATTTTATTTTCTCAAAAAATTCACACATCTCTCAAAGCTTCCGATAATGTCATCATAGTCAATATTCAGAAGATGATGAAGCTGGTCCTGAAAGTCGCTAGAAGATCAGTGTTAATTCTGCATACACACACCCTCTGCACCCATCTCCCTGCCAGCTCTCAGTGTTAAGTCTGGGATTCTCCTCCCACTGCAGCCAGTCAAACCAGCCTCACATGTAAAAATACACAGTAGCACAGATATGGGCAAATGAGAAACTTTGTTCAGAATCTGACATTAAGCCCTGGCTGGTGTAGCTCAGTGGATTGAGCAGGGCTGCAAACCAAAGCATCGCAGGTTCAATTCCCAGTCAGGGTACATGCCTGGGTTGCAGGCCATGACCCCCAGCAACCACACATTGATGTTTATCTCTCTCTCTCTCTCTTTTTCTCCCTCCCTTCCCTCTCTAAAAAATAAATAAATAAAAATCTTAAAAACAAAACAAAACGAAACAAAAAGAATCTGACATTATCTGCACATTGGTGTAGGGATTAGCACCTTCTACTGCCGAGACGTGAGACTTCACTATTAAATTTCCACTTTGTCTTTGCAAATGCTTCTTCCTGCTACATAAAAGTACCTTATTGTATATGGTTCCTACACAGGCTCAGTTATCTTAAAACTTTCCCAGCAGGAAGGATGGTAGCAAGGAGTCTAGGAGTTAGCATACATGTATATCACTTTTGGCTATAAGACACAGTCCTGGTTCCTGGTTAAATGTTGGTGTAGTTACAGTAATCTTTTCCTTGTGCCACAACTGACTAAATGCTCATGTTTATCATCTCCATCTTGTTCAGAAAGAGTCCACACAAGGCACATCTTATTGAAAACCAATGCTTTTCAGGCTCAACAAGCCTTCTATCACAAATCATCTGTGTCCCAGCTACAGGTCTCAGTACTAGATTCTTTACACAGAGGATGACACTAAATCTTCTTTATAATTACCCTCTCAGTTCTACTGAGGTGGAAACAGAGGCCAAGTTCACCTAGAAAGAGACAAAAATGAGTAAACCCAGGTGTCTCTTACTCCAAAGCCCATGTTATTCCTGCTCCAAAAACAGCTCAAGACCCAAGAATCACTGAAAGGCTGGTGAGGAAGGGATTACCCAGATGCCTCTTGGTGTCTATCACAGTGCTCTACTTTAATTTCTTCCTCTCCACCTGTTAACTCAGCCCTACCAGGAAATGGTATCACTTAGCCTATGAAATACAGGTCATGGAGTTCATGGTTGACAGGTCTTCTGTTGGGTCGGCCTACATCCTTCACAGCTGGTGTAGCTATTTCAGGCATCATAGGCTCCCATTTTTGCTTTCCCAACCTTGACTCCCACGATCTATGGACAGACAAAAATGTCAGGAACATCGAACAACCTCCTAAGAGTGTGAGTACACACCCTCAGGAAGCCAGGCTTCCAGGCTGAATTTCTTGAATGGGAAGATAACTGTTGTTCTTTCTACCACACTCAAGTCAAAAGTCAGATTACAGAGAGGCTGGTAAGAAATTCTCCATTTTCATTCTCAGCCCATCTGCAGAGTAAAAGGGGGCAGGGAAGACCTGTCCAACAAACAAAGAAACAAGTTAAAAAAAAAACAACCTCATGGGATGTTGGGCATGGAAAGCATGAGGGCATGAGGGGAAGAAAAAAAGTAAAAATGAGTCCTGGCTGGCGTAGTTCAGTGGATTGAGCGTGGGCTGGGAACCAAAGTGTCCCAGGTTCGATTCCCAGCAGGGTACAGTCCTGGGTTGCAGGCCAGAACCCCCAGCAACCGCACATTGATGTTTCTGTCTGTCTGTCTGTCTGTCTCTCTATCTCCCTCCCTTCCCTCTCTAAAAATAAATAAATAAATAAAATCTTTAAAAAAAAAGTAAAAATGGAGAGAAAAAATAATTTATATTTCTACTGTTACTGAAAGCATGTTGTGGAGAAATTACAAAGGGTTTTATATTTCTAGAAGGAAAACAAAGTGCAGACAGTAAGGATTACTGTCGGAAGGCCATTGAGCTTCCTTTTTTCCTGAAGGGCTTATGAGAACACATAAGGGAAAAAGAGATGTGTACTGAGGAGAATCTCTTTAATTTCTTCTATTTCTCTGAAGTAAAACTTCAAGGTAGAAGGGGTGGAAAGCATGAGGGGAGAGTGCCACTTTCAGAAAAAAATTGAAATATCACAGTTACCCCTAATTATGGGATAAAGAATAGAATGTATGCTCCTTTTTATTTTCATCATATGAAATGACATCTAGACTCATTCCATTTTTTTCTTAGTTGGAACATTTTCTCCTCCTGAATATGTACTAGAATTCCTGGGACAGTTCCTTTCTTTGTTTTAGTTGAAACTAAATCAAGGGTTTGACTAGATTTGAGGCCATTATGCACAATAAACTCTACCACACCTAGTCATCTTCAGAGTGCACAGATGAGGCAGGAAAAATAAATACCTGGCTTGTTTGTAAAGGGCTGAACACATTTGTGACCTTTAACATTGGTAGTCATGCAAACTTTGGAATAAGCGATCACACTTCATGTCTCTATGCCTGGGAAGGGAGCACCTGGGCTTAGAAAAGCACATTGCCCTCACACACTTCTGAAGGGAAGAAAACATTCCTTGAGTTTTTTCACCTTTACTCTAATGGGGAAATGGGCTTGTATTTTCAGCAAACACCACTGGAGACCAACTCATTCAGGAAAACAAACATAGCATTAGCTCTGCAGGTCTCTGAAATGGTTCTGCTGGGAAGGGTATGAGCCTGGGTCTCACTTGGGGCCTTTCCAAGATTCATTCATCTACCAAACAAAAATCTGTTTGGTGCCTTCCAATGCACCAGGTACTGTTCTAAGTATTAAGGAACATGGTGCACCAGGCAGATGAGATTCCTGCCCATATGGAACCTATGTGTCTCTCACCCATCATGCATTTCCCTGTGGTTACAAAACCATCACAAGTCTACAACTTTTCAGCTTGCCTAGTCAGTTGCTTTTTCCTCTCTCCTGACCTCTGCTATCTTTCAAGGTGGAATTTTTATTTCTTCAGAGTACTTAGGTCCTGTCAATAAATAACTTGGTAGTCATCTACTTTTATTATCTAGTTCACTCCTCCTCCTCCCCTCCCCAAAAGAAAACAAACATCATTCACCATGTTGTTTCACTCACCTTGAAAGCCCACTACTCTCTCTTCCCCATTTGCAAATCTCCCTGGTTACTCAAGGTTCAGGTGGCATCTTATGTCCTGCACTAAAGACATTCCTGCTGTTCCTGCCTCCATCAACTCCCTTCTCCTCTGGAACTTGTAGTACTTAAGTAGCCACCAAGGTCATACAGGAAGGTATTTACTGCATACCTTTTCTATTGTTTGCTGTTTTTCATCTCCAGTCTTGTTTCACCTACTAGATTATGTATTTCTTGCCAGTGAAGACTGTGCTTTATTCTTTGATGGTAGCTAGCTCATTGGCATTAAACTTGAATAGGAATGTATACATTTGAAATATACCTTTTATTTTTTTTCTTATACACCTTCTTTCCTTTCTCTCTTTCTCTCCCTCCCTCCCTCTCTCCCTCCCTCTCTCCCTCTTTCTTTCTTTCTTTCTTTCTTTCCTTCTTTCTTTCTTTCTTTCTTTCTTTCTTTCTTTCTTTCTTTCTTTCCTTCCTTCCTTCCTTCCTTCCTTCCTTCCTTCCTGCCTCCCTCCCTCCCTCCCTCCCTCCCTCCCTCCCTCCCTTTCTTTCTTTCTTTCTTTCTTTCTTTCTTCCCTCCCTCCCTCCCTCCCTCCCTCTCTTTCTTTCTTTCTTTCTTTCTTTCTTTCTTTCTTTCTTTCTTTCTTTCTTTCTTTCTTTCTTTCTTTCTTTCTCTTGTTGTTCAAAGTACATTTATTTCCATTTTCACCCCCAAACACCGCCCATCCCCACCCCCTACCCTCAAACCCACCCCCTTTGGCTTTGTCCATGTGTCCTTCATACATGTTGCTTGATGTCCCCCGCCCATTTTCCCATGTTATCCCTCTCCCTCCTCCTCCCTGATTACTGTCAGATTGTTCTTTATTTCAATATGTCTGGTTGTATTTTGCTTATTTTTTTGTTTCGTTGATTAGGCTCCACTTATAGGTGAGATCAAATTGTATTTCTCTTTCACCACTTGGTCTGTTTCACTTAGCATAATGCTCTCTGTCTCCATCCATGCTATTGCAAAGGATAGGAGCTTCTTCTTCTTTTCTGCTGTGTTATATTCCATTGTGTAAATGTATTATAGTTTTTTGAGCAACTCATTTACTAATGGGCACTTAGGTTTCTTCCAGCACTTGGCTATTAATTGTGCTGCTATGAATATTGGGATACATAGACTCTTTTGAACTGGTGTTTCAGGATCCTTAGGGTACAATCCCAATAATGGTATTGCTGAGTCACATGGCAGTTCCATTTTTAGTTTTCTGAGGAAATTCCATATTGTTTTCCATAGTGATTGCACCCATCTGCAATCCCATCAACAGTGTACTAGGGTTCCCTTTTCTCCACATCCTCTCCAATACTTGCTGTCTGTTGATTTGTTTATGATGGCCATTCTCACTGGTGTGAAGTGGTATCTCACCGTGGTTTTAATTTGCATTTCTCTAATGGCTAGTGATGTTGAGCATCTTTTCATATGTCTTTGGGCCCTTTGTATGTCCTGCTTGCAGAAGTGTCTATTCAAGCCTTTTGCCCATTTTTCATTGGGTTGTCTCTCTTCTAGAGTGGAGTCGTGTGAGTTTATGTATTTTGGAGGTTAGACCCTTGTCTGAGGTATCATTTGCAAATATGTTTTCCTATATGGTTGGTTCTCTTTTGATTTTAATGCTGTTTTCTTTAGCTGTGCAGAAGCTTTTTATTTTGATGAGATCCCATTTGTTTATTCTTTCCTTTATATCTCTTGCTCTATGGGACATATCAGTGAAAATATTGCTGTGTGCAATATATGAGATTTTCTTGCCTATGTTCTCCTCTAGGACTTTTATGGTGTTGTGACATATTTAAGTCTTTATCCACCTTGAATTTATTTTTGTGTATGGTGTAAGTCAGTGGTCAAGATTTATTTTTTTGCATGTAGCTCTCCAGATCCCCCAACGTCATTTGTTGAAGAGGCTATTTTTACTCCATTTTATGCTTCTGTCTCCTTTGTCAAATATTAATTGACCATAAAGACTTGGGTTTATTTCTGGGCTCTCTATTCTGTTCCATTGGTCTGTGTGTTAGTTCTTATGCAAGTACCAGGCTGTTTTGATTATAGTGGCCTTGTAATGTAGTTTGATATCAAGTATTGTGATCCCTCCTACTTTGTTCTTCTTTCTCAAAGTTGCTGAGACTATTAGGGTCATTTATGGCTCCATATAAATTTCTGAAATGTTTCTTCTATATCTGTGAAGTATGTCATTGGTATTTTAATAAGGATTGCATCAAATCTATAAATTGGTAATATGGACATTTCAGTGATGTTGATTCTTCCAATCCATGAACATGGTATATGCTTCCATTTATTTGTGTCTTCCTTAATTTCTTTCTTCAGTGTTGTGTAGTTTTCTGAGTATAGGTGTTCACCTTCTTGGTAAGGTTTATTCCTAGGTACTTTATTTTTTTTGTTGTTATAGCAAATGGAATTTTTTTCTTGATTTCTGATTCTGATCTTTCATTGTTGATATATAACAATGCCTTTGATATCTGAATATTGACTTTGAACCTTGCTGTTTTGCCAAATTTGCTTATTAGGTCAACTAGTTTTGGGGTGGAGCCTATAGGGTTTTCTATGCACACTATCATATCATCTGCAAACAGTGACAGTTTTACTTCCTCCTTTCCAATTTGAAATACACCTTTTCATATGTTACTTTAAAAACTTTTAATCATTGAATTATGTTCTGAGTCATTCATATATTCATTTAACATATTCTGAGTTCTTATTATGTCCAAAACAATGTGGTGCTGTGGGGGATAGAAAGGAAGCTGAAAACACAACATATGCCCTTGAGGGGTTCATTTTCTCTTACATGAACCAAGAAAAGCCAAAAATGATCAATAATTTTGATGTTAAAAATAACACCATGTTGTAATTCTTGGCTTCAGTTATTATAAATTGCTTGTGTGAATATATGTTTGTGGATGTGCACCCATTAGTATGTATGGGTGTACATGTATTAGTATGTATTAGTATGTATGGTGTGTATTAAATTTGGTTTATGAGAGGAAAGTTCAGTTATGCAATATTTTAGAGAACTTTTATATTATGCTAAAATTGTCCACAGGAGAGCTAGACATCTGAGTAAAAGCTAAAAAAGATTCAGTTGATTATCCAGTTGTTGAAAATGTGGAGAGGAAACCACCAGAAGATTAACCCTTATTTTCTTAAAAGTTACCAATTAATTTTTGAACTACTTCTAAGTCATCAATTGTTAACAGATATTTTCCTCTTCATGCAATTTGAAACATGGGTATGGCTCTGCTCAAAACAGCCTTCTATATCATTCATTTGTACTCTTGGTATAAGATAAAAGTAGCTCTGGATATGATAGAGAAAATGTGGTTGGAGGCAATGAGGACACTAAGGCCCATTCATTTAATATGATTTTGTACATGGTCTGTCCATAAAAAGACCAGCCATTGTTAATATAATGAGAAGATTTCTGTGATATCGATATAATCTGGCAGCCAAGGAGAGTAGATTGGAATGTGCATGTGTGAACAATGACAACTTCACTATACTAGTCAGTGGGGACAGTAGACCTGCAGAGTGAGTATGTATACCATGTGGCTATCACATTCAAAATGACTGAGAAAGTAGAGCAACAAATCTGCATCAAATTTTGTGTTAAGCTTGATGTTCCCCTGCAGGAACTGTTCAGATGATTCAGAAGGCTGCAGCTATGGGCAAGTGGTGACTGGCAGCTTCATCACAACAATGTGCCCACTCATGTATCAGGCCTCGTCCAGTGTTTTTTGGCAAAACATCAAATCACCCAGGTGATTCAGCCTCCTGTGACTCCTGGCTTTTCCCAAAACTAAAGTCACCTTTATAAAGGAAGAGATTTCAGATCATTGATGAGATTCATGGAAATGTGATGAAGCAGCTGATGGTGTTTGGGAGAACTGTGTGAGGTCCCAAGGTGCCCACTTTGAAGAAAACTGAGGCATCATTGTCCTGCATCTTTTTCAATGAATGTCTCTATTTTTCATATTACATGACTGGATACCTTCTGGACAGAACTTGTATAGATCTCAACACACCATGATCCAGGGCCACTCACAACCTCCCTGTTTTTCTTTTAAACAGACTAATGAGCACTTCAAGTAGCTTTTTGGTATTTCCTCTTCTCATTTCTCTCCATTGTTCTCCAACCCTCTTAGGAAAAGCCAAAATAAAATGCATTTCCTTCTTGGTGGTTGTTTGGTCTGTGAGACCTGCATGTGTGTACACTACCTGGCTTGAAAGTAGACGGATCTCCTCCACACCCCTGGGCTTTGAATGGAGCAAAAAGGTGGGGTTTGTTTTTTCACTTAGTAATAACAATGCTGACTTATGGAGAACTTGAGAAAATACTTAAAGTTGCATCAACAACATCTGACTTATATGTTATACAGAGCAGCTGTGAGTGTTATTAAAATGAAGCCAAAGTCAACTTTATGGGTCCTAGGACCAAATAACATTGGGGGTTGAGATAGATTCAGAGTCCAAGGGGATGGGGAGTAACATTTTATTTCCCTGAGATATGCTGCTGATTTTGTTTCTGTGTTTTTATAATCTTTTTTTCTGATGTTAATACAGGATTTTCCATTTTGCATGTATACCTGGACATATTTAAAATATTTATAATGCATTCTTTCATTCAATCAATTATTTATTTTGATGGAAAAAAGATCATGTTTTATTTTGTCCTTGTTCATTTTGCTTTAACAACAATTGGCAAAGCCAATTGGTTCCAGGTAAATACTGCAAAATCACTGAAGTTTAAGTGTGGAAACGCCTTAGATGTTTCCTTTAGATGTCTGTCCTGATATCCTAATATCTTGAATAGCAATGTAATGTGCCTTTTGAGTATGAGAGTTGAAAGGGGAACAAGTGCTCAAATTCCAAAGTAAATAAAAGGGAAAAAAGGTAATTGGGATTTTGAGTTCATAAGGTGACAGATACCTGAGTCCAAATCCTAGTACCACACCCTGGGATCTATCTTTGACCTGGAAGGACCCAAGGAGAAAGGAGAGTTCTGTGGTGAATGCCTTATCCTATGGCTCCAGCTAGAGTAAAACTCTCCATTGATTTTCTAAGTTTCTAGGTAGGAACATGCTGGAGCACTTTCGATTTTCATGGGTGAGAGGGCACCTTTGTCATATATGGTAGCTTACCCTTTGTATGATTCTGTCACCAGATTCCCAGTGCTCTGAGTGTAAGACCACATGGCTCACTCATCTGTATGGCCCTATTTATACTCTTTCTAGCACAAATTCCATTAGGTTTGTTCAATGAAATTAGGAATGAAAGAATACATTTAATAAGCAGAGAAACAAGAGGATTCTTACTGAGAAACTATTCTTTCTACAACTGACTTTCGAAGGTGAATTTTAATTATTTGATGTTAACCCTTACTACAAGCCTACTTTAGGGATAAAGATGATAGGAAGGAAGGAGAAGCCTCTGTTTTTTCTGTAAGAAAATGCAGAACCTGGATGAGAGAATAAAAAAATGCACTTAGAAAATAATCTGGACAATTGAGAACATCATTAAAGCAGAAGAATGTAAATATATCACTTGTTAGCTAAAACATGTCACACACACATGCATACACTCATAATTTAAAAGATATATATAAAACTTCGTTCTATTGTACAAATTTTCCCGTGACATAAATCGGTTTCAAAACAATTTTAAAGAGCTGCATGCTCTTCCATCACTGTATTGTAGTAAATATATTTAACCCATTTCTCACTTGGGGAGCTCTGTAGTAAAGAATTAATCTTACTCAAAGAGAAATTTGGCCCTTACCTTTGGCTACTGGGAAGTTATTCTCTTGGCTTTGGGGACGTCCTGCCTGATAAAGTGTCTTTATTTTCCTTAGGGTCTTGTGCCACACTAGACAGTCAGACAATGGGATTGACCGAGGGCCTTTGGGCCACACAGCATCTGCTCTACCTCCAGAGGGGTGTAGGATGTGACATACAGGCACACAGTCAACCATATCTGTGTGATTGAACCTCAGTGAAAATCTGGACACCCAAGAATCCAGTAACCTTCTCAGGTTCGTGATACTCTGTGCATATTGTCACACATTGTTGCCAGGGGATTTCATGTTACCCATGATTCTACTGGGCAAGGGCAATGAAAACTCCAAGTTTAGAATTTTCTGGGACTCTGCCCTATGCACATCTTCCCTTCCCCATTTTAACTTGCATTCTTTCATTTAATAAATTATAACCAAAAGTATTAGAGTTTTCAGTTAGTTCTTTGAGTATTTCCAGTGAATTATCAAACCTGAGGGTGTCCTTGCAAATCCCCAAGCTCTACAGTGGGCATCAGAAGTCAGGGTGGTTTTATGAACTGTAGTTTCTGACTTCACTGGAGCATTAATTAATTTCCCTTTATTCTCAGTTATAAATGATTTTTAAATAAAAAATAGCATTTAGTAGAATAAATAACAAACTACATTAAGTATACATTATTTTAATAAGCATTAAATGTGCTTAAATGTGTTAAAGTATGGCTCATAGGATGAAAAAAAAGGGAAATTATTTAAATTTTTATAATGTAAATAATATAGTAACAGAGTATGCACATCTGTATGTATCTTTGATCATTTCCTTTTATTAAATTAATTGAAGTAGGGTTAATGAATTAAAAGGTCTGGACATCAAGCTTGAAATGTAGGCAACATTTGTGTGTGCAGCATGAGACAAGGGCAAGGAGGGAAGAGTCTTCTGGTGGGCCAATGAGAAGAGGCAAGTGCATGGAGGTGGGGGCGTGTAGATACACTTTTCTGGAGGTCAGTGAGAATGATCTGGGATGAACAAAATGAAATCTTGGACAGGTAAGTATTTGAGGAAATGGATTATGAAGGTAAATTTCATTATGAAGGTAAAATCATCCAAGATACATACAGGCCTGCAAAGTAAGAGATACTAAGTTTCTTGAGCTTTCTATAATGCTAGATGCCACTGCACTTCATTCCACAAAGGATCTGAAAGAGGTGAAACCCCTATACAAGTTTGAATTTAAAAGTCAGTCATTCCAGAGCATCCAGAGCACAGGTGGCAAACACATGGCCCGAGGGCCAAACCCAGCCCTGCACCTTGTTTAATCCATCCTGGCACCTTGTTTCTACCTGGCAGTGGTACTGAGCTCTTGCTTAACTGTTAAGGAGTAGCTACATTTATACAGTCCTAAAATTACATTCAGCTTTTTGAAGGCAGCCACGCGGCTGATGTTGCCCCCAGTGTAAATGAGTTTGGCACCCCTGATCCAGAGGAAATAGGTGGCAAGCAGATCATGTGTCATATGGGCAGAGTCTTAACTCAGAGACTTCTTAATATAAGAGTACTAAGAATTAAAACATTTTATAATTCTTACACGCAATTTGAAACAATGCTAGGCTTTCTTCTGAAAAATGATAGTAAGAAAATGTTTCTAAAACTTTGCTATGAGGTATATTAACACTTTTATCCTCACCTGAGGACATTTTTTTCATTGCTTTTAGAAAGAAAGGAAGAAAGAGGGAAAGGGAGAGAAACATCAATGCAAGAGAGAAGCATTGATTGGTTGCTTCTTGAATGTGCTTGGACCAGGGATCGTAAGTGTCTGAACCTGGGTCGCATGTGCCTGTGCCTGGACTGGGAATTGAACTCCACAGCCTTTCAGTTATGGGACAACAGTCCAACCAACTGGGCCACAGCTGCCAGGACTGTGTTAACACTTTTAACGGAAACTTCCAGCTAGCTCCCCAGCTCCCAGGATAGGCTTTTGCACATAGTGAATACTTGATAAATGCTATATCACTTAATAAATGGAGGTGGATGGGTGGTTGGATGGGAACTATTACCCAGCTTGTAGACCTAGTATCAGGGAGAAAATATTCACCTTCTGAAAGTACAGCTTTCAAATATTGTGAGATTTCCAAAGATTCTTTTCTAGATACTTTGGAAAGATTGATAAAATTACTACTGCATTTGAAAGAAATTGCTCAATGGGCCTGGAAAGAAAAAGGAAAAAGGTGTGTGGCTTTCCAACAATTTTGGTTCATCCTCAAGGGTGATATAGCCCTGTTCACTGCCAGTGTAGCTCATGAGACAATTCTGCTAAGTACCCCTATCAGGGCTGGCTTCACAGGTGTGTGAGCTGTGAGGTGCCCAGGGTCCTACATTCAGAAGAGCCCATGCTTCGTTTAATGCTCTGCCATCACTGTCTTGAAGTCTTTGAACAAGGAGCCCTGTTTGGATTTTGCACTGGGTTCTGCACCAGGTCCTGGCTTCTACTCAGAGGTGATCCTCCAAAAGCTTTATTGATAAAAGCAATTGAAAAGCTGTCAATAGTGGCTAAATTGTTAATAAGCACTTCAAAGTTTCTATAATCATCTGGAGAAATAGGATCTTACCAGAGCAGTTTTCTTTACTCAGATTAACACTTCAAAACCCTCTAAAAAGGTATGTTTTGTTTGTTTTGGTCTCTTCCCTGCCTTCTCTATTAGTCTCTGAATGACTTTCACTGTGTTCTTATCTAGGTCTGCCTTCCCCTTTCTTCCTTCTTAGCTCTTTTACTTTTTTTCTTTTTTTCAAATACATTTTATTGATTATGCTATTACAGTTGTCCCATTTTTTCTCCCCTTTATTTACCCTCTGCCCTGTACCCCCCTCCCACCAGCATTCCCGTCCCTTATTTCATGTCCTTGGGCCATACATATAAGTTCTTTAGCTTCTCCATTTCCCATACTATTCTTATCCTCCCCCTGTCTACTTTGTACCTACCATTTATGCTTGTTATGCCCTGTACCTTTTCCCATATTCTCCCTCTCCCCACTGATAACCTTCCATGTTTTCTCTATTTCTGTGAATCTGCTACTGTACTAGTTGTGTGCTTAGTTCATTTTTGTTTTTGTTTTTTTAGGTTTGGTTCTTGATAGCTGTGAGTTTGTCATTTTACTGTTCATATTTTTGATCTTCAATAAGACCTTTAACATTTCATATAATAAGGGCTTGGTGATGATGAAGTCCTTTAACTTAACCTTATCTGGGAAGCACTTTATCTGCCCTTTCATTCTAAATGATAGCTTTGCTGGAGAGAGTAATCTTGGATGTAGGTCCTTGCCTTTCATGACTTTGAATACCTTTTCCCAGGCCCTTCTTGCCTGCAATGTTTCTTTTGAGAAATCAGCTGATAGTCTTAGGGGAACTCCTTTGTATGTAACTGTCTCATTTTTTCTTGCTGCTTTTAAGATTCTCTCCTTACCTTTCATCTTGGCTAATGTAATTATGATGTGCTGTGGTGTATGCTTTCTTGGGTCCATCTTTTTTGGGACTCTCTGAGCTTCCTGGACTTCCTGGAAGTCTATTTCCTTTGCCAGATTGGGGAAGTTCTCCATTATTTTTTCAAATAAGTTCTCCATTTCTTGCTCTTCCTCTTCTCCTTCTGGCCACCCCTATGATTCAGATGTTGGAACATTTAAAGTTGTTCTTAAGGTTCCTAAGCCTCTTTTCATTTTTTTGAATTTTTGTTTCTTCATTCTCTTCCAGTTGAATGTTTCTTTCTTCCTTCTGGTCCAAACTGTTGATTTGAGTCCCAGTTTTCTTCCCTTCACTGTTGGTTCCCTGTGCATTTTCCTTTATTTCACTTTTCATGGCCTTCATTTCTTCCTTCATTTTGCTACCAAACTCAATCATTCCTGTGAGCATCCTGATTACCAGTGTTTTGAACTGTGCATCTGACAGGTTGGCTATCTCTTCATCACTTAGTTGTCTTTTTTCTGGATCTTTGATCTCTTCTTTCACTTGGTCCATATATATTTATTTTTTGTCTTGTCATGCCAGTTATGTAGTAAGGGTGGAGCCTTAGGTATTGCCAGGGTGGGGCAACCCAGGTCACTGAGATATGGCTTCATATGTGGGGAAGGGGTCAGAGAGGGATCAATGCTGCTTGCTCAGCTCTCAGCTGGCTTTCAGTCACTTCCTATGCTACCCACAAGCAAATTGAGTCCTCCTGGTGCTGATTCCCAGGTGGGTGGGTTTGTGTATGTTCTAGGACCCTGTGGGTCTCTCCAACGAACTCTTCTGTGAGGCTATGAGTTTCTCCTACTGACTCAGTTCCCACAGGTTTTTTCAGTCAGTGGTTTTGAGGCTTTATTTCCCTGCAAGTTTTCTTTTGAGAAATCAGCTAATAGTCTTAGGGGAACTCCTTTGTATGTAACTGTCTCCTCTTCTCTCACTGCTGCACTGGAACCCTGAGCTGGAACCCTGGGTTGCAGTGTCTGTCTTACTCCCCAGTTGTTCCTCCCAGTTTATCTGCACTCAAATGTTGGACCACCTGCTCTACCAGCTGCCACCTTTCCTGGTCTGCCAGCCAATACCTTGCCACGAATCCTCTCCACCCAGCTTCCCATCTCTAGCCCTCCTACTGGTCTGGATGAATGTTTCTTCTTCAACACCTTGGTTGTCAGACTTCCATACAGTTCAATTTTCTGGCAGTTCTCATTGTTTTTTTGTTTTTAAATTTGCTGTCCTTCTTTCGGTTGTGCAAAGAGGCAACATATATCTACCCACACCTACATCTTGGCCAGAAGTTCTTAGCTCCTTTACTTTTCTTTTCCTCTTCTCTATCTTTATGCTTTCAGAGTTCATTCTTCTCTTTACTATAGTGATAAAAGTTGTACTTAATTCTAAATTTGAATTTATTAAAAGAAAGTATTAATGTTTATTTATTTATTCCTCACTTAAGGATGATTTTATTGAATTTTAGAAGTAGAGACAGAGATAGAAGCATCAATTGGTTGTCTCCCATATGCACTCAAACTGGGGATTGAACCCACAACCTACATATGTGCCCTGGCCAAGGATTGAACCTCAAACTTTTGGTGTACATGATGATGCTCCAACCAACTGACCCACCCAGCCAGTGTTCTCATTTTATTTTTTAAATAAGTAAGTTGGTATTCTATATTTTTATGATTCCACAAAAACTTTAATTATAATATTTTATCATATGACACTCAGCTAATTTTTTTCCCTTTAAATTTGGGACCTGAACTAAAAGAAAAGAAAAACAAAAACAAGCAAATATAACAACAATAAATATTGAAAACAAGCTAAACAATCTCATAATTCTTGAAAAAGATGTTTCATTTTAGACCCCCAAATACAGACTTTTCTGGAGGAATATATTTGTTAGGGGAAATACATGCATATTGTCTC